GGTATTTTGTAACGGGTACTGAAAATCGGTACATCCAAGTACCCGTTACTTCAGTACCGAAAATGGTACTTTTTGGTATTCGTTACTTCTGTACCGAAACGGGTACTTTTCGGTATTCGTTACTTCTGTACCGAAACGGGTGCTTTTCGGTATTCGTTACTTCTGTACCGAAACGGGTGCTTTTCGGTATTCGCTACTTTGTAACGAAAATATGCGTCTCTTCTCGGTAGTATTCGTTACTGGAGGATCGATGAGGGTTCAGCTCACTTCGGTTTTGGTACGAGGACAGTAGTATCTGGTTGTATTTGCGAAATGGTGATATGCGCTCCTTGTGTCCATGAATGACCTTGAAATAGGGCATGGAATGGCAAACGTGAAAGGGAGGAACTTCCGTTCCGTTCGTCACGGAGACTAGAGTTTGAGGTAGTATAATTAATTGCCTTTGTGTGCGCGGGAGGACGAGTGTGAAATAGTGGAAATTTTTCGAAAGGCCGTTCGTTGTGTGTGGGGGGGGGAATAGTAGCAGTTGGAGTCACTGTCGCCGGCATTGCTTGCTCGCGATTGGAGTCGGTATAGTCAGGAGGGAAAGGGAGGGGAGCGCTAGATGATTTGCAATCCGAATTGTGCATGTTTTAATTTTTCATCGTTTGTAGGAGAAAAACTGCGTGGATCTGAAATGATTGATTTGGTAAGTTGCTGTTGTTGGATTGGTGAATGGAATCAACTACCAACTAGATTACTTCCTTTTCCTCAACATATTTTTAGCATAAATCATGAAAAATATTTTTCGTTTGCTTGCTTAATAGGGCAACGTAAAATCAATAAATATGATCCTTTTTTATCCCGCTGTACCTACTTCAGAAAATGTCACAGCATCTAGTGGATCACTAAGCCAATCAACATAAAATACAGACGCAATTTTAAACTTTTCTAATGAAAGAACAAAGATAACTGACCCACTTATGATAATTCTTCCCCCTTCTAAAAACAGATTTTCATCTCGCCAAAAAACTAAACCCAGGTCACGTGCCTAACGCAGGATTGTCAACGCCTGCTTTACCCCCCAGGACGTGACGACGCTCCTCCGATAGGAAGAGAGGTGAACTTTGACCTGGCAGTCCGAATCTTCTTCTTTTTTTTTTTTTTTACTCCCTCTGGAGCTTATTTGAGGGGGGGAAAAACTATCGAATGGAACACCGGAAATTATCCGGACATGTTTATGTAAACATACATGTCCCTCCCTTTTTTTCCTTTGCATTTTTTGCTCTTTCATGCCTGATTAATAGAATCATTAGGCGATATTGCACTTACCCTTTTCACACAGCGTAGTGCTGATTTTAGAATTTGTAGCTGGAGTGAACAGCGGAAGTCGTTAATAGAATTTTTTTATGCTTATCTGACGATGCTGATGACCATCTTCCAACTTCGTCACTTTTCCCATAAGCTTCATTCTTGTCTCGTACTGGTGAGTATCGGTACGTTATAGAATTGCTTAGTCTCTATCAGTTTCTTACGCCTCAGAAAAAAAAAAATCGAATTACAAAAAATGTCTAGTAAGAAAAGGAAATTCAGCTTGGTTTGGCAGCAGCACTTTTCCTATACTAATGAAGACGAAAAAGTTATGTGTGACATTTGTAAAGACCTTTTATCCATCAAAGGTGGTTCAACAGGAAATTTTAAAAAACCATTTGCAAAGGAAGCATCCTTGTGTAAATCTGCACAAGAAACGCGCTTTGCCGAATCAAGATGTTGATGCTATTGATGCCGCTCCAACCCTTCTGTCGTCACTAGCCCTGCAGATGGTGGGCAACCATGCACATCCCAGCAGACTACACAACTTACGGTAGACAACAGTGCTTGTGATATTGTTGGTGTATTTTCACAAAAATCCCAGTCCAGCATAATGCAGTTTGTCCAGAGAAATACGATGGATGTACATAAAAAAAAAAAAAGTAATCGATCGCGCACTGATCAAAATGGTATATAAGGATTTACAACCAATAAGTATCGTAGAAAATGAGGGATTCCGAGAATACTCAAAGGCTTTGAATCCAACCTATTCCTTACCTTCACGGAAAACGGTTTCTAAATCCTTGCTTCCTGCTGCTTATGAAGAAAAAAAAGAATAGTTTAAAAAACGTTCTTAGTGCTGTACAAAATATCTGTTTGACTGTAGACTGTTGGAGCAACCAAAAGGCTGAAAGTTACATGGCCGTGACAGGCCATTTTATTGACGAACACATGCAAAGGAAAACGGTACTGATTGACTGCTCAATTTTTGATGAACGTCATTCAGCCAAAAATATTGCAGAAAATATCATACACATTTGCCAACCATATTTTCCGATGGAAAAAGTGTCTTTAATAGTGACTGACAATGCCAAAAATATGATTAACGCTGTCGACAGCGAACTAAAGTTAAAACATTTAGGATGCATTGCACACTCTCTCAATTTGACTCTCTCATTTGGCTGTCACAAATTCTCTAAACGAGGTTAACGACCTTCTAACGAAAATTAGGGATATTGTGATAGTTTACAGGAGAAGTAATATCGCTGCAAAAAATCTGCGAAAATATCTGTGCTCTAGCGAGGAGAGAAAAGACTTAAAAGTCATCTTAGATGTGAAGACTCGTTGGAACAGCACGTTTTATATGGTAAAATGTTTCCTTGAACTGAAAGACGCTATTCGTTCTACAATGGGTTTGATGAACGACCCCCAGAGCCTCTTGATGTGCCAGAATGGGAAAGTGTCCAACATCTTTGTGACGTTTTGAAACCTTTTGAAAAGGTGACTTGCGAGTTGAGTTCGAAAAAAATACTTGTCAGCATCTATGGCGCCTGTGTTAATCGGCGGACTTCAAAAAAATCTGTGAAAATCTGCTTAGTAAAAGTGGTTATGAACAAGTACAAAATGTGGTACTAGTACTACAACGTGAATTGGGTAATAGATTTACAACTATCGATTCAAGAGAAGACATTGCTCAAGCCGCTTTCCTTGACCCCGAATAAAAAAATTGGGGCTCAAATGTGATGTCGCCAAAAAAATTGAAAGTGATATTATCTGTGCGAGTTATCGGTAGTTGCACAAACTACCCATAATCTTGTTGAGGATGTGGAAGGGGATGATGAAGAGATAGACGAATCATCGGTTTGGTTCGAGTTTGAGAGTAAAGTTAAAGACTCTCGAACTTCATCAGCTCCCGCAGCAGACGCGGCGATCGACAAAGCTGCGGCAGAAGTGAAAAGATACCTGCAAGAGCCCATTCTTTCCAGGAAATCTGATCCACTGGAGTGGTGGGAAAAGAATAAAAATGTATTTCCTAATTTGTATGAATTATCACGGAAAAAATTAGGCCTTGTGGCTACTTCAGTGCCATGCGAAAGGGTGTTCTCTAAAGCTGGATTAATACTGAATGATCGGCGAAACCGTTTGAGTGGACAAAAGTTGAAAACAACTAATTTTCTTACATTACAATTATAATATTTAATCATTTGTTGACCTTCTTAAAATTCCAACCTAAGTTCAGCTTAAAATGTTTATTTCTATGTTTATTTTCGCTGCATTATTTTCAAAACTGTTTCTGGGAGTCCTTTTTTTTATGCTTAATTTTTCGTTACATATTTTAAGTGGTCTTTATAAAAAGAAATAGAAGGAATTAAATGCCTAAAATTTCCATAAAGTTAAAAAATTTGATACTTTTATAACGTTTTGCACAGCCTATCAAAGTTTTATTTTATTTGTTTTAATTAAATGAAATATTACTTCATTCAAATGTCAATTTCTTAAAAAAATATTATTTTGAAATTGTATTTAGATCATTAATATAATATAAAGTTCTACAGTTCTATTATTTACTTAGCTGTACTCACATATGTTAAGTTCTCATATAGTTGAAAGCATGCTTCTAGTGTTTAAATCATCTTTAATTTAAATTTTTATATCGAATGTACTTATTGAATTCATATAATGCGATTTTACAAATATTTTTTGTGCTTTTTGCTGTTACAGCATCCAGATATTACGTTCTCGTAGTTTTAAAGACATGCTGCCTTATTTCCTAGTGTTTTTAATAATCTTTCACTCAAAATTCTTATGTCGAATGCGCTTTGGCTGTAATTTGAGTTTTAAAATATTTTTTTTACCATTCTGTTGCATTTTTGTGTTTACAGCAGTTACTGCATCCAGGTATTGCGCTCTCACAGTTTTAAACCTTTGCTATCTTATTTTCTAGTGTTTTTTGATAATCTTCAATTCAAAATTGTTATATTGAATGTGCCTTTTAAAATCATATTGTGCGTTTTTTAAAAATATTTTTAACCATTTTGCTGAAATTTACTTATTACTGTAGTACATCCAAATATATTTACATTATCTCACTTTTCAAAACATACCTCATTTTCTAGTGCTTTTGGTAATTCAAAATGTTTAAATCAAATATATATGTTTTTATGCATTTTTAAAATGCATTTTTTTAAAAATATTTCTAATCATTTTGTTGTTTATTGTACGGGTGCCAAATCTCCAAAAGTACAAATTTAACTCAAAATAAACCTAAATGTAATTTAAAAAGGAACAGTATAAACTTTTTTGTGGAAAAGCTCTTCAACCATGTGTATATGAATAAATGTGTAAATTTTATTTTATGCCAGTATTGTACAATTAAAACACACAAGGTCATTTATGTTATATTTAATGTTTAAATTATCTTACTTTTTTATTCAGAATTTTTAATATATATAGGAGAGAGTAGAGAATAAGAGATTTATCTTTTTTTAAAATTTGGTAGCTTGAATAAGTTTTATTTCGCAGTGGTACTGAAGGTCATTATCTTATCTATAAGTGGGATAAAGGTTTGTGATTATTTTAATTTCTAGACCCTACGCACACCCTATGCCCTTTACTACCGAATTGTAGGTATTAAACGACTTCTGTGGTATGTTATTTATCCGTATAAATAAAAATATCATGTTAAAACAGATTGATCATTAAATTTCTGATATTTACTTAGGAAAACTGCATCCTATCGGGTTGCTACACAGCTAGTTATACTCGTAGTTAATTTTCTATTTTAAATTTATTGCGACATTTTTACTCATAGTATAGTGTTGCATCAAAATTTCTATTTTCCGATTTTTTCCTTTGTTTCCCTCCAACAGTACAACACAACACAGCCGAAAAAACATAGTGTACTCTCCCTTCCTTCAATATCATACGAAGAAAATCTTCCGACGTTTTCAAGTACGCAACTATGCTCATTTGGGGCTGTCCATAAATGTCACACTTTTCTGCAACATTTGGACCCCCTCCCCCTCTTTGTCACAAAGTGTCACACTTCAACATCCCTCCCCCCTTTGTCACATGTCACGCAATATTACGTTAAACTTATACTTGCAGTTCAAAAACGTAGCACTACGTTATAGATCATATTTCAGACTTATTTTTTTAAATTTAAACTATATGTTTTATGACATCTGTAAATATAACAATAATAATGATTCGTGCACTTATTTTGTATGAATAAGAGAAAAGTTTTACAGCAAAAACATAATAATACACAATAGCAATCAATTAAATTTACTTTTTCAATTTCTGCCGCTACCCTATTCTCAAAACCTACTCTGAATGCCCTTTTTTTGAAATGGAAAGAAAGAATGTAAGTAAGAAAAAAAAAAAAAAATCACATGAAAGTTGCTTTCGCCCCAATTAAGGAAATACCTTCAAATTTTGATAATTTAAAAATAACTTCAAAATTCAATCTGCTGATTTTAAACATTTTTATTTTATTCAAAATATGATGTCACACCTCTTGTTACGCCCTCCCCCGCCTTGTCACAAACTGTCACAATTTCACTAACCCCCTCCAAGCGTGATATCATTTAGGGACGACCCTCTTTCACGAAATTGATAGAGCACCCATCGATTTTGCTGCACCTGCACACAAGAAGAAACAACCGAAAGCGAAAATGTGTTTCCATCCATCCACTTCCCGCGCCAATCCTTCCCAACCCCCACTGGCCATCAAAGACAATCTACACAAACCCCAACACCAGAAACAAACCCGCCGCGCTCTCCTGCTCCTCAGACACTTCCGTAGTTGACATGTTTTCTGATATTCAAAATCTTCAACTCCGTACAGATAAAATCAAACACGTGGTGACGTGGCAGAAGGTTCCTTCAGTGAGCAAAATCGTCTAGCTGCGTATTTCGGTACTCCAAATCGTTACTAGGGCACTTTGGTACTCCAAATCGTTACTAGGGTACTCCGGTACAGCAAACTGTTACTCCGGTATTTCGTTACTTCGGTACTCCAAATCGTTACTTGGGTACTTGGTACTTGAAATCGGTTTTCGGTACTTTTTAAAGTAACGGTTATTTGAGTAACGGGTATTTTGTACCGGGTACTTGTCTGTACCCGTTACTCTCGTACCGGGTACAAGAAAGTACCGAAGTTGCCCATCACTAATGGCACACCATTTTGACCATTCGCGTCTTCTTGGGACTTTAATTAGCCGAGATGTTAATTAAAAACTAATTTTCATCCTTACTTTTTCCCTACATTCTTTCTTGGGTTTTCCCTATCAGAGGGATTTGACTACATGCCAAATTTTTTTTTTCTTGAATATCTATGGTGGCACCGAGTTGAAATTCGAGACACGTATCCTCGGATTCCAAAAAATTCTCCGAATCCATCAATATCATTCTTATCTTCGTACAACTTTAATCTGCCGAGATATTAATTAAAAACTGCAGAAATGTTAATAAATAAATAATGGGAAAAATAATAGATCAAATTTTGAAATAATTAATATTATTTAATATATATATACATCTTTTCTACAGATTACGCGTATACACATATGTATAATTTTTCTTGCATTTTTCTGATACAGTATGTGTGAAAATTATTTTTATTTCTTCTGTTTGTCTGTTTAAAAGCAATCTTATTTGTGTATGCATTTGATATAATCTCTCATTTACAGAGAGAATTTTTTATTGATATTTTGTAAGTTAAGTAATGCTTATTATGAAGGGAAAAGAAGTAATATAATTAATTCTGCCATATTATGAATTTAAATCATTAGTAATAAAATCTTAGTTAAAGAAATGGAGTATATTTTAAAATTCGTATACATTTTTTCTTATAAGCCTTATTTTAAAATGCAATAACTATACATTTTTCTGATAGGGGCATTTTTAGTTTGTGTGGTGAAGCTTTTTTTATCTTTAATAAGGGATATTTTTAGTTCCCTTAGTGTAGCATCTTTTTCTTTAGTCAAATAGTTATAATAGAATTTCTTAAAAAAGATGATTTCAAAATTAAATAAAGTTTTAATTTATTTAAAGGGAAATGTATTAGACCTGTGAATGATTAAAAGTTCTTTATCATAGTATTTGAAATTTTTAATTGCTTGTATTGCTGCAGTTTATTATGATTCATAATTTGAACTTATCTGTGTAACTTATTAAATTAATGAGAAAAAAATTTAAATAATTGCAGAAATATATGTTTTTAGGTTTATGCAAACACTGAAGAAAAAGATATATCTGTGGATAGTGTTATTTCTCACTTCAAATCTTTGTATTCCAATGAAGATTTAGATTTAGTTTTTGGCATTGAATCTGACTATGATTCTGGAAGGAAGGTAAATAATAAATTATACTGTACAAATTATAAAACTCAGATGTTTATAGCTACTATTTAAACAATTCTTTAACATATGTAGCAAGTAAATTTAGCATTTTTCAGTTGATGAGAAATTTTTGAAAAAGCAAATTTTTATAGTTTTTTCATTTCTCATCTATAATTGTACTATCATTTAGGACTGAAAATATGCTGCTGTATGTATCAATAATATATTCGTCAAAATGTCTTTGTTAAATTTTTTTAATTGGGTTTTAACCAGCAAGTGATTTTTTGATTGCAGATCCAAATTAATTTTAATATTTTAATATTATAAATTAAAATAATTTTATGTATTAATAAGCCTATGTTAGAAAATTAAATTGAGATACCGTTTTAATTGTGTTTTGAAATATGTGTTTTTGTATCTATATACAGGCTGCATGGAATTTTATTAATAGAACTGGAATAGGCAAACCACCACAAGTGCTTTTAAATGGTGTTATGTTAAAACAACTTCAGGTAAGAAATAAAAGATTTATTATATTTTTATTTCTAAACAAAAATATTAAAATAAGCAATGAACTTATCACTATGAAAGTGACTTTATGCATTGTTTATAATCCTAGACATTTTTTATTCTTTGTCAATAATGAATATTTAACAAAAGTAAAGGTATCATAAATTTTAATTTTCTGTCTTAAAATTAAAAAAGTAACTTTTATAATATTTTTATAAACAAAATATTTTGTTTTCAAACAATAATTTTAGTGCACTTTGCCATTTTTCATAATTTATTCTGCTTGGAAAAATGCCTACCTGCATTCAAAACTTAAATTGGTTTTGTAAGTGGGTTATTTATTTCCTGTATGTTTATATTTTGTTTTGATTTAATCTGATGTTAGTATACTAATGAAATATTGTGTTAAATTTACTGATGATATATTTGTTATTAGTTGGAGAAATGTCTTGCTATTGGAGTATTGAATTTATAATACTAATCCAAGAGCAAGGACATTAAATTTAAACTACTTGAGAAGGGATGGTTTTCTTTTCTTTCTTTCTTTTTTTTTTTTTTTTTTTTTTTTTTTTTAACCCCCCCAGTACTGAAATAGGGAATTTTAGCAGTTTGAAATTGGTTTTATTATTAATCAGGTATAATGGGTCATGTTTCTTAGGTAATCATTTTAAAATAATGATAGGTTTAGCTCATGTTTAAGAGGGAAAAGGATAATCTAAATTGAAAGCATAACTTTTTAGTATACTCTAACTCAAAATCATGATTACAAGACTTATTTATGTATTAAATTAAAAATTATAGAATATTCTAAATTATATCTTTGTACTTTTATTTTTTCATAACTCATATTTCTACATCAATAATTAATTTACAGAAAAATTTACAATTTACAGAAAGTTTTAAACCTGGGAAAGAATATTTGTACATAAATTCTGCCTTTTTAGCTAATTTTCTTCATTTTAGATTTATTTTAGTGCATATGTTTTATTAAGCTGGATAAAATTTAAATAAATAAAAATTTTGTTACATTTTAATTTTTTTTTTTTTTTTTTTTTTTTTTTTTTTTTTTTTTTTTTTTTTTTTTTTTTTTTTTTTTTTTTTTTTTTGTTTTTTTTCTTTTTTTTTTTTTTTTTTTTTTTTTTTTTTTTTTTTTTTTCAGTTGTTTTTTTTTTTTTTTTTTTTTTTTTTTTTTTTTTTTTTTTTTTTTTTTTATTTTTTTTTTGTTTTTTTTTTTTTCATTTTTTTTTTTTTTTTTTATTTTTTTTTTTTTTATTTTTTTAAAATGAAAGCATTTTTTTTTTTTTTTTTTATACAAGATTTATTTTTCTTTTTGTTATTTTTTCTTTTTTTTCTTTACAGAAAATTTTTTTTTTTAGTTTTAAACAGGTTTGAAATTTGTTTTTTTTTAATTCTGCCTTTTTTTTTTTTTTTTTTTTTTTGCATATGTTTATAGCTAGGATAAAAATTTTTAAATATAAATAACAAACATTTTGTTACATTTTTATGTTAGTGATATGTAATCTTTTGAATTTATAATGCTGAAAAATTGTAATTATGGTAATTTCATAATATAATTTTTTAAAAACTGTTTTATAATTATTGAAGAGGCCCACCAGCGGTAAAGACGCTGAACACTGGTAGTTCGGTCCGAGGTTCGAATCCCGCGAACGGGCTGGCTGCATGGGTGTTTTCGTGGTTTTCCCCATGTGTAACGTGTATACGAGCCAGTTTCCCTTAGAAAGTCCTCCACGAAAGGCATCCCTCCCCTTAGGCAGATGGCCCTAGTGTGCTTTGCCATAATTAAATACACCACACCACACCTATAATTATTGAAAATGCATTCTAGCAGTATTATTCAGTGCTGAATAATTTATTTACCTCATTGTGTTACAGCTTACTGCTGATATGTTTGAAGAAGCAATATTAACTGAAATCATGAGGCAAACTCCTTTTTTGCAAAAAAGTGTGTATAAGGTAATATATTTCATTTCATTTTCATCATAGTTATTCAAGTAATTCATATTTCATGCACAGTTAATGAACATTTTTGCAAAAAAGCTATGTCTAAGGTAAAATATTTTATTGCAGTTTCATGATTGTTATTCAAGTAATGCTTGCAAGTTTGCACATTTCATGATCTAATCTAGCTTTTTATGTCTCCTTAATTACTTAAATGTTTATTGTGGGCATTTTCTCATTTTAGATGTAGTTATAATACTTTCTTCCTAAATATCTATTTCAGCTAAGTCATAACTTTACTGAAATCATTAAAGAATTTAATATAAATTTTATAACTTAATATAAAGTACCATTTTAATATAAGTATAAATATAAATATATAAGTATAAATAATGGAGCTTCTTAATTATATAAATTTTGAAATCAATTTTTATTTGTGTCAGTTTGAGAAAAAATTGACTTGAAATGTTTTTCATTTCAGGGAGAACTTACTGATTCTCATAATATTTTGGATTTTTTAATGGATCAAAAAAATGTTATGCCACGTCTCAATCAAAGAGTTTTGAGTTCTGAGAGTACTTACATTGATCTAATAGCTGAGAAATGTAAATATAATTTATTTTATATAAAATCTATAAATATCTACTTATAATTTCAGTAAGGTACATAATGCTGATTTAAAACTTAAAAATGGGTAAAAATAAGGAAGTATAAAATATTACATGCTATTGCAAATTATGGTTAAATATTGATAAATTCATTTGATATGTGTATTCCGTAAAATTTTCAGAGTAATATTGCATGCATTCGTATTGTTCATGCACACAGAAATAAATACTTTTTTTTTTTGAAAGAAAACTTGCACAGCTGCTGAGTGGTTAGAATTGCTGATCTTTGTGGTAGTAATTAGCTTTTAATCTTAGATTCCACGGTAAATTAAGCTAGCTAGATGGAAATTTTCATGTTTATCTCATAAGTAACCTACAGTGGTGGCCAAAATTGTGGACACATTTGGAAATTTTTATGTTTTTGAACTTTGTATGCTTATAGAAAATGTTAAGTTTCGCAAAATGCAAACTTGTATATATCATTTTAAAGAGAATTTATTACTGAATTCAATACAAAACACAAAATTCAATTATTTGAAATACAAAAAAAGTTATATGTACTTTAATATAAATAAAAAACACAGTTATGAAGTGGTTTGTAATGTCTAGCTTTCCTGGCCAATCACTGTTCTTGTTCTGAGAACAAATCAAATGTTAGTAACTGCCAGTAGAAGCTGACATCATGTTTACACTTGAAACAATTCATTATTTTGCTTTGCTCTGTAGAAGGAGGACCTGTTTCTTATACACTGCAATTACAAGTAGGAATTTTTGTAAAAAATTTTAATATTTAGTCAAGAAGCAATGACATCAAATAAAAGAGTAGATTGGACACCTAGAAAGAGATGTAATGGTATTGTGTTACGAGAAAGTGGTCTTTCCTATGCTGAAATTGCAAGACAGGTGGTTAGTTCAGTGACTACATCTGAAGTCTGAAAGTTTTGTTTATGATATCAGGAGACAAATTCAATAAAAAACAAAAAAGGAAAAGGCCGAAAAAGGTGCACCACATCTATTGATGACAGAAGAATAAAAAGACTATGTCTCCAAGATAGAAAAATGTCATCAGCGGCCATCAGAAGTGATCTGAATGATGCTGGTGTTTCTGTCAGTTCAAGAACAATCAGGAGAAGATTAACAGATGTTGGACTGAGAGGTAGAATTCCACAAAAAAAGCCTTATCTTAATTTTCAGCAACGAAAAAAAAAAAAAAAAAAAAAGACTACAGTGGGCAAAGGAACACATTAATTGGACAGATGATCAATGGTCACAAGTTATATGGAGTGATGAAACATTAATTGGACAGATGATCAGTGGTCACAAGTTATATGGAGTGATGAAACTAAGATATCGTTATTCGGTAGTGATGGGCGAAAATATGTAAGACATAGAATAGGAGAAGAGCTACATCCTGAATGCATTCAAGCAACTGTGAAGAACATAGTTAGTGTTATGATTTGGTCATGCATTTCAGCAGATGGTATTGGTCCCTCTCATGTCATCGATGGGACACTGAATGCCAGAAAAAAAAATTGACACTATTCTAGAACCAAAACTTCTACCTTCCATCAGAGGTCTCTTTCCCAACAATGCTTCATTTATTTTTCAGCAGGATTCTGCTCCTTGCCACACGGCCAAAATATCGAAAGAGTGGTTTCGTACAAAGAGCATTAAATTGTTGTCATGGCCAGGAAACAGTCCTGACCTCAATCCTATCGAAAATTTGTGGCACCGTTTGAAAACTCTTATCCGAATGAGGCGTCCATCAAATAAAAGGGAACTAATTGAGGCTATAATTGTTTCCTGGCATCATGTAATAGCGAAAGAAGAGCTTAAAACTCTTTTCAGCTCAATGAAACGTCGATGTGAAGCTGTAATCAGAAATAAAGGGTACCCTACTAAGTACTGATAACTCACTGCAGTCATCACTATCTAATGTATATTGATAACTATAATCGTTTAACTTTTTTTGTATTGCAAATAATTGGATTTTGTGTTTTGTTTTGAATTCAGTAATAAATTCGCTTGAAAATGATATATACAAGTTTGCATTTTGTGAAACACAACTTTTTCTATAAGCATACAAAGTTCAAAAACATAAAAATTTCCAAAAGTGTCCACAATTTTGGCCACCACTGTATATACAAAAATTTAGAAAATTCCCAGTAAAAGTACCTTTCCCTAGTTAGTCATCTGTAATTTCCTCCATTGTAATCAATTACCAGATATAGTATTTAATATCTGGACCTGGCAACATATTAATAGACTTTTTTAACATTTTGAAAAAAATATTCCCTAATTACTTTACACAGAAGAAATGTGTTATTTTTTAAATTGTTTTGCAAAGTCTTTATTCAAATTAATATATCTGCTGCTGGTCAATTCATGCCTCTCTATATTTTAAATTTTCTAGATGCATTTTTAAAAAATTATTTGTTATTATGTACCTGTAGGTTTTGAAGTTAATACAGAACTAAAATTAAGTAAGTGATTTTGAGACCAATGATTGTTAGCTGTGTAAAGTTTATTAATATATTTTTGTTTGGCATATGATTCATATTCTTTAATGCAGAATTTTTTTGTTCTCTAAAATTTCTCCATACTTAAAAGGAAAATTAAGATGAGGAAGAATTAAAAATTAAAAGTTTTTTCATGCTCTCTACATTGTCAGTGTTGTTTGGGCAGTATGCATTAAACTATATAGACAGGGCATATTATAAATTTCTCAGTAAGTCTGAAGTAAGGCCATTTAAAAACAGAGCAAAAACTTTTATTAATATCAGAGAAAATAATTTGATAATCATGTTTGTGGAGAATCTAAGCAATTTTGTAGGTAACAAAGGAGGGCATATGTGATGATATTGATATTGTCTTATTTTTTTAATGGAAAACATTCTTTGCAATGTTAAGAGAGTAATTTTTAAAAGCTTTATCAATAATGCTGAGATAAAAACCCTGTCAGTAGTAGCAGCTATCAAATCTCTGAGCTCTGAGCAAGAGCAGATTGTTAACAGTATAATAAACATAAAAACAAAGGAATCCAATTTTCCGTTTGACAAAATACCATGATTTGGCACTGTTAAAAGTTACAAAAGATTTTTGATTGATAAATTGCAGGGCTGAAACAAAATATATTATGAATCTCGAAAAGATGGAAAGTTGAAATATTCAAGTTTCAAGCCTGATTTTGAATGGCTGGATCTACAAATTTCATAGTGAATGAATTATTTTGTAATTCATGTCTAATTCCATCAGAAATTGTATAAATGTTATCAACATTGGGATTCAAAATGGAAAAGATAATTTTTAAATAATTTAACTTCATGCACTTTTCAACAAATACTAGAATAAAGAAGTTTCCTATATTTACTCCTTCAGTTTGGTTACAATTATTGCTTATGAAAAATGAAGTGTGTCTGAATTTGAAAATTTTAGCTAATGATCATTGGTCTCAAAATCACTTACTTAATTTTAGTTCTGTGTTAACTTTAAAACCTACAGGTACATAATAACAAATAATTTTTTTTAAATGCATCTAGAAAATTTAAAATATAGAGAGGCATGAATTGACCAGCAACAGATATATTAATTTGAATAAAGACTTTGCAAAACAATTTTAAAAACAATTTAAAAAATAACACATTTCTTCTGTGTAAAGTAATTAGGGAATATTTTTTTCAAAATGTTAAAAAAGTCTATTAATATGTTGCCAGGTCCAGATATTAAATACTATATCATGTACTTGATTACAATGGAGCAAATGACAGATGACTAACTAGGGAAAGGTACTTTTTACTGGAAATTTTAAATTTTTGTATATAGGTTACTTATGAGATAAACATGAAAATTTCCATCTAGCTAGCTTAATTTACCATGGAATCTAAGATTAAAAGCTAACTACTACCACAAAGATCAGCAATTCTAATCACTCAGCAGCTGTGCAAGCTTTCTTTCAAAAAGAAAAAAAAAGTATTTATTTCTATGTGCATGAACAATACACATAGAAAAAAAAAAGTATTTATTTCTATGTGCATGAACAATACACATGCATGCAATATTATTAGGTAAATTCCTTAATTTCAATGTGAGAGAGGAATGGAATTAGATTGCTTTCAAGTATAGGAATCAAATCCAGAACATTGATGTTTGCTAATCTTATGTATTTGATCACTGATGGGCAGAAATAAAAGGAGTAAATAATATCTGAAATAAAACTTTTAAGAACTTTATGGAAAATGAGATAGTAATTAAAACTGGTACTCAAAGTTGGTAAATTTTGCCTTCAGAAAATCTTATTTACGAGTAGAAGTTTTTTAAGTAATATCAGCAGAACTATAGTAAAAGAATGGTTAAGAGACAGATATTCTTCAGCTCTGAAACATTTATTTATTTAACTTTTTCTGATAAAAATTCATGTTCTTTGGTGAAAATGTTAGCTTTATCTTGCACATGAGCTGCAACAACAAGGAGTGTTTTAAATTCTCAAAGAATTAAAATCTGAAACAGGGTCTTAAGTACTGAACAGTGTATTTCATTAAAATGAGAGAATTTTTAGAGAATTAAATAATAATAAATAGTGACCAGAAAAAAAATGTTTGATAATCATATCATTGTGCATTTTCTTCCCTTCCATAATTACGAGAATGTTTACAATAGAAGAAAGTTTTTAAAAGTTTAGTTGACAGTCGAAGCAGTTGTAATACAAGTGATTTTATAGAGAAATCATAAATAAATTCACAAGAGAAATATTTAAGGATTTTTTTTAAATAGAAGTATTGTTGCAAAGTAAAGGAAAAGAACTGAGTAACTAAATGTGTGACTGATCTGTGTGAAAAATATCTCAGCTAAAAATTTAGAAGGAAATGGAATTCTGTTTTGTTTACTTTGGGAAAGGCATAAAATCTAATGCAATTAGAGATATTTGAAGTTTGTGATTGAATTACGTATATTGATTAAGAGTAATGCTAAATTCACTTAGTTAAAATTAATATTATTATTTATTTATGTAATCTAATGCTTATTTTTGTCATTTCAGCTGAAACAAAAATAATTATGAAAAACATGAAATACTTTGTTAAGCGAGGTGAGTAATAAGTTTTTCATGTTCTTTTAAAGATTTTTAAAATGTTTTCATGTTTTTTGCTTGTAGTTCAGTTTATTTGCTATTGTTTATGCCACACATTCCCCCTATTTTTCATAGATGATGATGAATTTAGGCCTTTAACAATGTGGGTAGTTGCTGATGTGGATACAGCTGAAGGACGAGCTTTATTATTATCTGGGCTTTCTCATCTTGTAAGTTTTATTTTTCAATTATTAAAATCTAATTTTTAATGGCCCCATTTATGCTTGTAGGTTGAACTTGTTATCTTATTTCAACTTAATTATTCAGATAAAAGCAATGAATCATTGAAATTTATCGAATTAAAATTTTCTCTGTGTTAAGTTTAAATATAATAAGTTCATAATTTGTTCCTTAGATTATTAGTCAAGGTATTTTAGTCATGAAAAACATTTCACTCACAAAGTTTTCAATGCATGTTATTCTCCTTATCAACAAACTTCTATGTGGATACTTCTACCAGCAGCTAGTGGTTAAGAACACTATAATTTGACTTGAGTTCAGATCCTGATGGATGGGCAAGCATGGCCATTTTGTATCCAACTCATCTATGTGTACACATTATTTTGTAGATGATGTTAAGCATCCTGATGATTATTGGCCTTTTATTTTTCAGCAAGAAAACAAGTACATTAAATAATTATCTTGATATACTTTCCACAAAAAGAATAAAAAAATAATGTGATTTTCCATTTGAGGGAAATGTTGCAGTACTGAGGAATAACTGTGTGAGATAAGAAAATGATAAACTTATTAAAATGCAGTGCAGGATGAAACAGGCTGGATTAATCAAAGTAAAAATGAAATAATTTATATGAAATTGATTGATTGAAATAGTGAAACATTTCGCTTGGGTTTATATATAAGGAAAGTAATACCTGAAACCTGCAATAAGAGTATAATATTTTTATTATACATAATAGCTTAATATTTTTTTCCAAAATACTTTTTTGAAGGTAAGATATTTTGATTGGTTATTTTGTGAATATAATTTATGAGTATCATGTATGTTTTAACTATTAAAGCCTGTGTTTGTTTACCTCCCAATAGATATTTGTGTGTTTGAATATATTAAATTTAATTTTGATGCATAAAATTTAATTTTCCAATTCACTGAATACATTAGAATTTTCAAACTGTATATTTGATGAGGAAGAAATAAATTAATAAATATCTGTTGCTGATAATCATAATAAATGATGTTTTTTTCTAAATGTATGAATAATAATAAAAAGTCTTAATGTTAATAATTATAATAAATCAACTGCAAACTATGCAATTCCTGTTCTTATTTTTAATTCTCTATGTTTTGAATGAAATAAATATGTTTTCAAAATCATTTAAAAATAATGAAATGGAAAATCATCTGAATATAATTAGTAAATTATAATCCTTTATAAAAATAAATTCACAGGGAAATAATTTGAAAGATTGTATGCTGTATAACTTTATAATTTTTCACTTTGTAAAATAAAACAACATCGTTTTAAAAACTTGGCAAAGTGAAAATTTTTCCCAGATTAAATCTGTACACGCTATGTTACAGTTTGATCTGCCAACTTGTCATTCAACTTTATTAGTCTAACGTTGCTTAGTTTTCAGGTTGTAATAATCCTTACTCTGTGTTAAAAAATACATAATTCTGAAATCTACAAATATATTTTAAGAAAGTACGCATTGTCTAAATGTTTTTTCAAATTAAACTGCTGAAAAATAAAATAATATTAAAAATAAATGGGTGCAAAACTGTATCAATATATGTTTAGATTAAAAAAGGTTTTTTTTTTTTTTTTTCTTTTGACCAGAAAACAAGTTTGCACACTCGTCTTGGAATAATTCACAATCCTGCAGCAAAAATTTCTGGTAGCATTCTGAGAAAAGCTATACAGGTTGCCTTAGACATTTTTGATCGCCATACCGCCAAGTTATTCATAACTAAGATATTAAAACCAGTGAATGCCATGCAGTTGATTAATAATGAAAAATCTGTGACAGATTTTGCAGTTTCAGTAAGTAAATTTTGATTTTTATTAATGGTATCGATTATTCTTAAAAATCTAAGTAGTTGTTTCATTGCTGTGATTACATACATAAAAAAACAACTGTAATCAATTAAAGAACTTTAACCAGCTATAGTAACTGAGAAATACCAGAATACCTGAAATAATTCTGAGTGTTTTTTTTTTTTTAGCTGTTTTGTAATTTGAAATTATTTTCAATTAGATCCTGAACTCATTTTTAAATATTAAATTTATTGGAGATCTTCTACATTAAAGCATATACTCTTACATGTTTTTATTATTGCTTTAATGCTTTTAAGCTTTATGCTATATATCTGGTTGTAATGATAGTTTTCCCACCAAAAAAACTTTCTTAATAAAGTTATAAGAAAAACATGACAACAGTACCTTTAGTGTGAGTAGTAATCACCACCCAAATCTTTGATTTTCTGCCAATGATTTGGTAGTTTTTCAAAGGTTTCGGCCTAGAAACTTGATGGCCATGAGTGCAAAAAACAGATCAGCCTCATTTCAGACGTCCTGTGCAAAATGGAAGATAGTACCAGCGAGATATAGCTGCAGGTGTGAAAAAAAGGTAGAGGTTCAAAGGAGCAATATTAGAAATATATAGTGGGTGTGGCAAAAGATCCCATTCAAGTCCATACAGAGTCCAGCTGGTAAATGCAGACACATGTGGTCTTATTTATCTTGATAGAATGTTACTCATTTGTGCCAGGACTCAGACATTTTTCCTTGATAGCAGTGTCAACACAGACTAGCATCTCGTTGTACACCTAACTGTCGACGATTTTACTTTTTTTTCAAATATTCTTTGAGGATAATACTATGGTAATCTCACTAGATACAAAGCATGAACCTTTTGTTAGTTTAATTGCGCTTTGTGACGCTGCCGGCGGGCTCAGCAGATGCAGACAAACACTTGTTTTTTTGGCCTGTGTTGTTGAAGTTAATCCACTTTACATCACTGACAGTCCGGTCCAGAATTTTGTCGTTGCATTGATATTCGAGCAGATTAGTATGCAGGCCCAAACATGTCTGTCCTTATCTGCTTGAGTTACTTCATGCAGCACTCAGCAATTGAACTTGTACACCAAGTTTATGTGATTGCCTAGTGCATCTAATGGACATGGTGCTAAAGCACTCTGCTTCTTGAATGTCATAGTCCTTGTTTTGAAATTTCAGTACCAAACATTCACATTGTCATGTGATACAACATTAGTACCTAAAGCTGTGCACGTGATGTAATGACATTCTGTAACTGACATTTTGCAACAAAACTGGAAGTAAATGATAATCTAATATGGTAGTGTACTAGTTCCATTTCAGATACCTTGTACTTAATGATAACAATGGTTTTTTTTACAAATTTCATAACATAGTGCAAAACTAAAGCAAGTCTCTTTCTTTCAAATGCCAAAAATCACTTGACAAAATATGAGTCAACACACTAATGTGAACTGTTTGTGCAGATGATATTTGCAAGTGTAGGAAACTTTCATTAATCCCAATAAAACCCTTTAATTGTGAGTCTTTAAAGAATCTGGTTATTTAAGATCTACAGTTCAGTATACACTTTAAAATAATTATGCAAACTGTGTATTCAAGTGTGAAATCAATTTTTAGTATCCACCCAGTAGCACATGATAAATTTAAATACTATGTAATTAAATAAGTTTTCCCCCCCCCCCCCCGTTTTTTATGTATTTAAGTGTATTTACTATTATTTTCACGTCCAGTTTGAATTTTTATTGTAATCGTACTGATTCTATTTTAATTCTCAAGAGATATTAAATTGAGTAATGATTCTTTTTTCATGCAATTCAAGTTTTAATTTGACTGTTTTTTGTCTTTTTTCTGAAATGTTTTGTGGGCCTTTACAGTTTTTTAATCATTTTGGGTGATATATATTTAGTATAATATTGCTTTCCTGTTTTTGCTGAGGTATAAAGGTGCGAAAGGTGAACAGTTCTCTTGTAAAGAGCTGGAAATCAATCATAATAATGAAATAAGAATCTGCATAAGCACTGTAATATATATCACTGTCTAACGTCAAATAAGAAGTTGTATGCTATATTATATTAATAAGAATCTAGAGCAGGGGTTCTCGACCGGTGGTACGCAAGAGAAAAATAAGTGGTACATAAAGAAGCAAAGTATTTTTATCTATTAAATTCAAAAATTAAAACCCCAACATCCTAATTGAGTTTTTTTCTAACACTCGTAAATTTATGCGATCTGAGCTTTGTTCAAGAGTGGTGCTGATAGTAGTACTTTGTACTGGTGGTACTAAAGGTTTTCAATTTTTGTATAGATGGTACACGTGAGTGAAAAGTTTGAGAACTGCTGATGTAGAGGAAACTTCTTTTTGTGTAGTTGAGTGGATAATTTTTTTTCATTCAATTAAATCTATGGAATTATTGTGTACAAAATTTGTAAAAATGCATTTTTTGTAATCATTAATACAAAAATATGTAGTAACTTATTGATATTTTGTGAAGATCTTTTGATATATAAATTTAAAAGTTTCATTTGGCATACCTTTCGTAGTTATTGATATATGACCTTCTACAGAAATATTGAACATTGTATGAATACTCAGGCACATTTTCAAAATTTTCTATCAAAATTAAGAGATTTGATTTCACCATATTTCAAGCTTTTTTCTGCCTTTTTCAGAAACAGTATTATTTTGATTATTTTCTGCTAATTAGAATAGTAACATGTTATGTTATTTTTGTCTTTAACTCTTGAAAAATCAGAACTCTTTTATATGATATTTTGTATTTTGTCTCAGTGTGTAGTGCATTATAAATTTTTGTGAACTTCTGTTTTATTTTATAATGAATTTATGTTACATTTTTTTAAATACTAATATTTTAGCCATGTATTTATTTCATGACTTTGAATTATTTCTAGAACATGGATACTGAGCTATTTTTGAAGAAAATGGACACATTTGATGAAAAGTCTTTGGATTTTCATAAAGTATTCTGCAAAAAAATTCTAAAATTTTCACCTGGTCAAAGAGCTGTTATTATCAACGGCAGAGTATGTAGTCTATATGTTGTTTCTCAAAATTTTCTGTATTTAAAAATTTTTAAATTTTTACTATTTATTTATTTTGTAATGTTTTTTTTTTTTTTTTTTTTTTAATAATGTTTCTTTGTGTTGCAATATATTTAAAAGAGTAAATTTTACAAATTCTTGACTTATATGCATCAATGTGTTTCTGCATGTATCCTTTGTTAGCTAACTATTAAAAGTTTAATTAATGATAATTTGGGGAGCAAATATTGATTTTAATAATCAAAATTAGAGAAAAGCCTAGTTTTGATGAAGGTTAACTTAAGCCTAGATTAACACATTTTATAGAAAGAGAAGATAAAAGAATGAAAAAAGAATGTTTTAAAAGAATTAAACTTAAATGAATTTTTAAAAAATTTTTTCTTCACAGACTCCCTTAACATTTTTCTCTACAATATACGGGATATGATATAATCATAATGTAAATAATTGCACATAAGTAACATAAAAATAATGATTAGAATTAGAATATCAACACTAATTTTGGGGAAAGAAAAAAAAAGGGGGGAAAGGTTTAATAGATTTCGGTTTTTATTGTTTTTTGCATTATTATTATTACTTTTTTTAATTTTACAAATATAAACAAGTTTTCAGAAACAAAATCCCAGATTCTAATGGCACAAAAATTCAGTTTTAATGAATTTGATGGTTGTGCTTGAAATATTGCTTCAGATTTTTTAACATTTGGTATAAAACTGCTTAATTCAATTTTTAAAACTTCTCATTCATAGATATACAACCTCTTCCCTGTTTTCCATTCTAGTTTCTGAGCTCTTCATCTTTTTTATAGTATTTTCTTTTTTACTTCCTTGTACGAAGTAAAAAGGAAGTATTGTAATCATGAAAAGTTTCAGGCACCATATTTCAACGAAAATATCCATTTTGACCGCTATCGAATGCAATTTAACGATGTTTTTGCGTGATATCTGTACGTAAGGACAGAATAAAAGACTCTTTTCCTCCAAAAAAAATATAAAACTGCCTTAAAGTTAATTCTGAAGAGAATTTTTCGTGGCATCTGTACGAACGTATGTACGTACATACGTACGTATCTCGCATAACTCAAAAACGAGTAGCCTCAGAACGTTGAAATTTTGTATATAGGACTGCTATAACATGTAGATGTGCACCTCGTATTTTGGTTGCAGTCGGCCGCACCAAACGTATATAAATATATTTATATATATATCCACTCTGTTACCCGGCTCAGTGATCTCAGTTTCTTTACTCTTATATGTTTGTAAATTGTACATTTTTTGCTTTAAAAATGATTGAATTATGTTGTTTTTATCTTCCAGTTAATATTTTTATGCTTTCGTAATTCTGGAAGCAATATTTGTACAATTATCAATAATTTAAAAGCTGTTTAAGTGCGGTTAAGTTTTAAATAACATGGCGGACATATTTGTTTACATTTGAAACAGCAGAATTGTAGATTTGTTGCCAATCTAGAGAGACTAAGCTTCGCAACACAAAAATAACGCCTTCATGTATTATTGCAAATTAAATCATGCTTAATCCTTTCTGGAATTTTTTCGAGGAAATAAGTGGTTAAGATTTACTTCGTAATTTTTAATGCAGATATTTTGAGTTTTTATGTATTTTTGCCTTGTCGCGAAGGGAGAACTGAATTAATTGAATGAGAAATACTTAATCATCTGTGAAAAACTGTTTCTTTTCTGTTTTGTTTGCTTAATTTCTTTCATACATCGTTTTAGCTTTATTATAGTATTTGAATAGAACAAGTGGCAACAATAATTCTTCAGATGCTATAAATTGTGCATTCAGAGTGTCCTTATAGTAAACAAATATAGTGAATTTTAAAGAGTGCATTTATTCTATTGTGCTTTATGCGCTGTCGACGAAGTAGATTTAATTCAATCCAATTAATTTAAAGGAAATTCAAGAACAAAATGTGTATAATTTAATATTCCGTACAAGGAAGTCATGTGGTGTACACATCAGATTTTTTTTTAATTGCATAACAAATTTATATATTTAAAAGAATATATTTGATGTTTTAAATAAATTAAATAATTTTAATGTTTGTTCCTCTTTATGATTATTTTATATGATTTCCCTCCCTTACTGCATGAAACAGTGATCAATTTTATTAATTTTTTTTGGTAATCTGTGGAATTTCGATTATGCTGATGCGTATTTGCATGTTTTAGTACTCTGAATATTTCGTATCTTAATACTCTGAACTTGATCTAAACTAAACAGCTGAGAACTTGATGCTCTCTCTGCCTCGGCTTCCCCCCTGCCGTTGAGAAATCTCTAGTACCTCTCATTACTAGAAATTACTAGAAGCCATATTTGTTCTAAGTTACATATAAGGGCCAGATATCTCTGAGCATATTGTTATCCCCCAGCCACCAAGAAATTTGTATTACCTTCCATTATTAGAAATTACTGGAAAGCATATATGGACAAATGGCCAGATATGGTTACAGTTATATAATCATATAGGGATCAATTAGTTATTCAGTTACAATATGAGTTGTAGTTATACAGGGACCAGATCAAAATGTCACCAAGCGGTCACCAAGTTTAGCTATTTTTCGCCAAATTTGGTGACCAAAAATTAGTTGCCAAAACCATCACCAATGACTTTCTGGTACATTACCTTTCTAAAAGTCATGCCTAAAGCAATAAATCAGGTATAATTAATGAAGATTCCAGATTTTACAAGATTTCATTTCAGGCATGGTGGATTTGAGATTTTACAAGAAAATTGTTAAATTTATTTGCTGTAAAAACACATCAGGCGAAAGTACAATAAATTACTATTGTGGATATATGTAAAGGATGTATAATAATATATTTTAGAACAAAAATTATTATCTATTTAATATGGTGTAGGATTACAGTTGGCATCTAAATCAGTTTGAATCTTTTTAAATGGGTACATACAAATCCTAAAATGTTGCTAGTGATATACTGCAAGCTCCATTTTCTTAAAAGATGCTGTCAGATAGTAGTGGAATCTTGATGTTTTCTGCACAGATTATAAGCTGATTGTTATTTTGAATATGGTTATTGCATAGTTGCCAACCTACAGCACTCAAAATTAGGAGAGCTTTTTAAGAAATCATGAGAATTTTTTCAATGACAAAAAGATTTTTTAAATGATAAAATTCTATAGAAAGAGAATATTTTTTTAATATTAAATTAACTCTGAATAGTAATTAATTAATAATTGCAAGTTAGTTACTGGCTTAAATATAAATAATAAAAAATACTTACGTATAAAAACTGTATTTTTATTATTTGTACCTTGTAACAGAAAAATAATACTTTAATCAATTAGTGGCAGATTTTCCGTTCATTAAGTAACTTCGTAATTTCGTTCATAGCAGTTGCCATGTAAGCCTGCTTTTGCTAATCAAAGTTTTTCTAATGTGTCATTATAAATATTGTATCCAAATTTAGACCTTTTTTCAGTAACAACATTGAAAATCCTCTCACATTCTGCATTCTTCTTCAATAGCTTGACAGCCCTGGATGGGACCTGACCTTCTCCAGGCATCTCTACTTTTGGCAACTATTTTCCAGTTTTTAAAATTTTAAATATTAATATCTTTCTCGACGTAATCAGTCCATCTTAGTGGTTGTCTTCTCCAAGGTCTATTTCCCATGTGCTTTTTCAGAAAGATTTTGCAACAACATTCTTCATTCGTTCTAACCAGATGGCCCAGCTCATTTAATTGTCTGTACTTTTACGTTATTTTAGAATATCAGGTTGTTTGTAAATTTTATAGAGTTCACTCTGTATTACTTTGTGAAATTATCAGGATTGTTAAGGTTATACTAGACCACTGGTATCCCACCATTGGCTTGCAGCCGCCTGGTAGCCAGCAATCCTGTCTTTAGGTTCCAGCCAGTTATAATCACAATATTGGCATGAGACAAAAACTCTAATCATAATGTAAAAAATAACCATAAAAAGGGTACAATTACACATCATGTGCAGGAGCTGCATTTGTGTTCACATTCTTGTGTGTATCATGACTTGCTGACTTAGCATTTTTAACTGATACCACTGCAAAACTCAGTGAACTAAATGCCACATTACAAGGAAGAGGAAAACATGTATTGGAAATGATGAGCTCAATACTTGCTTTCTGGCTATGTGGAAGAACAACTGTCAGCATTTCCTGTCATTTGTCATTTATCCTCATTCTAGATCCAGAATTTATCCTGGAGTGTGATCCAACTAAGCATGTTGAAACCCTTCAGTTACTTAGAATTTAAGAGAAACTTCCAAGATATGTTTTTTATGGAGTCCATTTGACTGTTCACGAAAAGTCCTTTCCGGGAATTAAACATAACAGGAGTGACTTTATCAGTGGAAAACTTTTGTTTTATTAACAAATCGGAGGTTGAATTAGAGATTATCACTCTTCATACAAAATAACACCCAAAAGCACAAATTAAAAGTGGGGAATTTTTTAAACTTGATGGACTTAATAAAATATAAAACATACTTTATATGTCCACCAAGAGTGACAGTAGTTTTTTTGGGTCAACATACCTGTATCAGCAGGCTTCTTTACAACTTAAAGTAATAAAAGGCAAGTACAGAAATATGTTGATTCCAGAGTATGGGAAAAGCAACATGGTGTATCAGTATGTGCCAAAATTTTAATAAGTTGTCAGAGAATATTAATAATGAAATATCTCATTAATAGGAAGCTAGTAACTTAATAAGCTATTTGACAAGTTACGTTTTCCTGTATTTGTAATTACTTCATTGGTGCTTTTTTTTTTATTATTATTTTCTAATTTGAAATTAAATTAGTTTGAACCTACATTACATGTGCATTTTATTAGTGGTTTTTTCCCATGTCTTTTTATTAATTTTTCTTATTTGGAAATATAAAATCATTCAGTAAAATCGCATATTTTCAGGAAATTTGTATTTTCCAATTATAAAACACCATGTGCCTACGAGGCATGACAGAAATTTAAAAGTAGTCCTTAAAGCAAAATTGGTTGAACACCATTGTTCTAGACAGTTCTTTAAAATGTCATCAGCACGATTCAGTTTTCCAATTAAACTGCACTGGGTGTCAAGCCTTGCTGGTTGTTTTATAACTTCATCTATGTTTTCTAGTTGTAAACCTCAAAATTGCAACTGCAGTTTATCAGTTACAATATCAATGTCATTGTCTTTCAAAACTAAATGAAGGAAAACTGGAAATGTATTACAAAATATCTTATATCAGAAAAAGATGCATTTATTACAGCAAAAATGTCTGTGGCTTTAGCATGTAGTCACTTCATTGTTGATAGGAAATTTATGTAGTATGTAATCATGTACTCAGTGAAATCAATAACTGAGATTTATTTTTCATAACCGTTTCTTTAACAATTGCCGCCATTTTTATCCTAACCTTGAGCATTTCTTAGGGATTTCGCTATCAGGAAACATTTTTCTAAATAAATCTGCAGCATAATCCAGTGCATTCTGTGGCAGTTTGTGGTCTATTAAAATGGCAGAAAACAGGCATTCTGTTTTAATGACTTTTTGGTTCTTTATTTCCACAGAAAACTTTAGTTTTTCATTTTTTGCTTACTATCCTTGTGTTTTTGTGCTCATACATGTTTAAGAATATAAAACACCATGTGCCTACGAGGCATGACAGAAATTTAAAAGTAGTCCTTAAAGCAAAATTGGTTGAACACCATTGTTCTAGACAGTTCTTTAAAATGTCATCAGCACGATTCAGTTTTCCAATTAAACTGCACTGGGTGTCAAGCCTTGCTGGTTGTTTTATAACTTCATCTATGTTTTCTAGTTGTAAACCTCAAAATTGCGACTGCAGTTTATCAGTTACAATATCAATGTCATTGTCTTTCAAAACTAAATGAAGGAAAACTGGAAATGTATTACAAAATATCTTATATCAGAAAAAGATGCATTTATTACAGCAAAAATGTCTGTGGCTTTAGCATGTAGTCACTTCATTGTTGATAGGAAATTTATGTAGTATGTAATCATGTACTCAGTGAAATCAATAACTGAGATTTATTTTTCATAACCGTTTCTTTAACAATTGCCGCCATTTTTATCCTAACCTTGAGCATTTCTTAGGGATTTCGCTATCAGGAAACATTTTTCTAAATAAATCTGCAGCATAATCCAGTGCATTCTGTGGCAGTTTGTGGTCTATTAAAATGGCAGAAAACAGGCATTCTGTTTTAATGACTTTTTGGTTCTTTATTTCCACAGAAAACTTTAGTTTTTCATTTTTTGCTTACTATCCTTGTGTTTTTGTGCTCATACATGTTTAAGAATATTGGACGTTCCACCATATGAAATCGAAAAATTGCACACATTGCAAATGTATTACATTTCCTTAAAGAAATAACAGAAGTAGTCATCTGTGTATAATTTTTGAAAAGTGCATGAATATTTTACCTTTCTTGCAGACATATCAAAGACAAATAATCGCATTTTGTAAAACTATTTCTCAAAAGCATGTGTAACTTGCATCGCTCAACCATGAGATGAAGAAAATAACAACTTTGATCTTGCTATGTGCTGATTGTCCAATATATGTCAGATAATTTGCAGTGGTGCTTTATGCTCATTAGAGAACTAGAGCAGGACATTTTTGGGCACATGTGTTTTCACACACAAGGTAGAAGTGTGCCACAGTGTCTTACTGATAAAACAACTTATTACTTTTCTTTATATGTTTCTTTTATATGTAATCTACAAAAAAAAAAAAAAAAAAAAAAAAAAAAAAACAAGCATTTTCAGACACCAAAAATCCCTTTTTTGGGTGCAAATAATGAAGTATTAAGCCAAGCTACATTAAAATCATGAGAAATTTTAAACATAATAGAAAGTTGGGAGAAATATGTTGTAAATTGCGTTGGTGGGGAGTTTGGTCAGAAATCGGGAGAGTTTGCAACTCTGTTATTGTGGAGGCAGCTTCTTCCTCACATTTCGTAAACTATTATTGACCATTCCTAGCTCTATGAACTGGGGCATTATTATTTTAAAAAGTACAATTTCCCTGCAAGACTTAATATCTGAATAATAGGATTTGCTATAAACCCCAGTATAGTACCTTAAGCTAGACAACTCTTCCATCAGCCTTTACTACAGGGAAAAGATAGTCTGAATTGTAAGCTTTTGCTGTTGTTTTGCATATGCAAACCTATCCTAAAGGGATGAATGGAAGTTTAATTAAATTAAACGCCAATGTAATTTTTTTAAATGAACATTCTATATTTGATTATTCCGTATTTATGGTTTTTTAAGCAGTGTGTAACTTTTGATCCTAGTCATCAGTTTAAAAGAACTTTTCTTTCATATTAACCCTTGAAAATAAGATGTGCATCTCTCTTTCCAGTTGGAAAAATTAATTTACACTCTTTTCTAATATTCATTTGTCAACATTTGGGATTTATAAAAGCATTGCAACCCATTAGCTGAAACTTGTTTTCATGCCTATACAATATTCCTGGTAGTACCCATTAGCATTTTATTAGTAGAAATTGTTTTACATCATGTGACAAAGATAGAAAAATTGGCACTATGAGATAGTAGCTGACAACTTCCCCATGTTACAAAATCAAAAGGCTGAAACATTATATCTTATAAAATATATCATGAAGAGCATTATCAGTATGTATCAGACTGTATGATGTGAATATTATTTTCTGTATGTTTGCATATATTTAGTAGAAATAGTAAAAACCTTTCTTTGAGATGAAAAATTTCAACTCTTTGGAATTCTATTATTTATCTAGAGCTTACATTCTGGATAAGAAAATTCGTTCTGAGCATGTTATTGTTATCTTTTTTTCATGTTTTCAGTATTCTGAACTGTTTAGAAATTTTACTTGTATTATTTATGCAGTTACTTATAATGCATTTGATACTATGCTCCCTTCACACAGAAAAATCTGTTTGCAAGGCAAATTCTTTCTTTAATTTTTATTCATTAACCCTCTGGGCGGCCAAGGTTTTTGCTAAGAAGTACAAATTTCCCAAAATTACTAGGAGAACAAATTGTTTTTTTGATTTTAATGCAAAAGCTTTTCTGGTATTTCATACCTGGATTTGTTTTCTTTTAATATATTGCCTTAATTCCGTTGACATATTTTAATATGCATGTATATATAAGTTCTTACAGATATCACAATAAATATTCTAGGCCGTATATATACGGCCTTGCCGCTTAGAGGGTTAATTTATATTGCCATATTAAATCAGATTCATGTTATAGGAAATGCAAGTACAGTCAAAAGTCGTTAATCCGGACTCGCCGGGACTTCAGCGATTCCGGATTATAGATCATCAGTTTAAATCTCGTAAGATGGCATGTAGAAATTCTAAAATTAAAAATATGAAACTGTAATTTATGAAATAAAGAACAATTATGATCTAAAGGGTATCAAAATTTACAAAAAAAAAGCTTAATATTTATTTGTTTACTTTATTAAACATTTCTTTCAATGTAAGTTGTTTAAGTTGCTTCATTTTATGTGATAATACTTTCTCTTTAATTCTATAAACAGACATAATTTCTTGTTCAGTTACAAAGTTCTGCTGTTCAAGTCCCGTAATTGCTGTGCCGAGAATACCGACTAACTTGTCAATCGAAATTTTTTTTTGTTTTCACTAACCTCTCTGTCACCTTCTTCATGTTTTATCCATTTTTTGCAGCAATTCCACTTTTTGTTTGATGGGCATCGAAACATACTTTCGTTTTGTAGATCCTTTGGGAGCTCCAGCATCGGAAATTCTATTTGACATAATCGAAAGTTCAAGTTTACTTTTATAAAATTGCTCTTACAGTCTGCAAAAAATAATAAGCCGCATCCAATTCGGAGATTAAGGAACAACACAATCGTCAACATTAACTGAAATAGATAATTTTAGCGTATACCATGTGTTATACATAAAACGTGCACGCGCAAACGTATTCTTCGCTTGCGCACACGAATATGCACAGTGGTAAAGGTCTTACGCGCATGCGTAAACGCCTATGTACATGTGTCAACGCGGCGCATGCGTAAACGCCTATGCGCATGTGTCAACGCGGCGCATGCGCAGAAAGTTTTTAGCTTTGAGGTCTGGATTATAGATCATTCCGGATTATGGGTGTCCGAATTAACGACTTTTGACTGTATAAATTTTAATGATTTTAAAGTAGATAAGGAACACTTATTCAGTTTTTAAACCTTTGCATATTTTGATAATTATTTGATTTCTAACTGTTTCTAATTTTATGAATTTATTTAAGGTAATTGGACCTTTTGAAGAAAATGAAGATTTTGCACAGGAAGATTTTCATCTCCTAGAAGTGAATTCTAATGGATTGTTTGGTGAAAAACTAGTTTCCCAGTTAAAAGATGGTTTTGAAAAATCAAAACTAGATAGGTATGATTTATGCATAAATGAATTTTATATTTAAAGCCACTTCTGATTAACTCTATCATTGGCACCGGAACAAAATCATAAATCTGCAAAATGTTTGTTTTTAGAAAATCTTATAAGGGATTTTTCTCAGTTGTTACCATGTGCCTTCATTATGTAATTGGAAGCATGTCCAGCTAGCAATCGGAGTTTGAATCTCGGTGAGGGTCGTGCTTAGTTTTCATGTTTCCTGCTGCAGCAGACCTAATCACTGTACAAGTAGTGACTGAACTAAGATGTAATAGACAACAATTCATCACCACCTAGATCATTCAATTGGATTCCTACCTTCCTAGTTGTCGTTTAAGTGAGGAAGAATGTAAAGGATTTTTTTTTTCCGTACCACATGCCTTCATGGCATAATTGGCAGCATGTTACTATAGTGTAAAATATTAAATAGTAATGTAGGAAATGCATGAAAAATATCAGGAAATCTGAATCATGATTTGACATGATTTTGACTGAAAATGTTAATATACTTCAGTAAAAACATATTTTAGAAAGAGAGCTATGTAATGTTATTATTGAAAAGGAGATTCAGTTATAAGGTAAAAAATGGTTTAAAGTTTTTTTTTTTTTTTTTCCCCCATCTTGTTATTTCCAAAATGAGTGACTTGAATAACAGTAGAAACTTTAATTTTTATTCATTCTGAATAATATGCTGTGTGTCAGGGTAAGTAATATGTTGCAAATAAAAATAACTCTATTATCCTTTAGAGCAGCAATTCTCAACTGGTGGTATGCAAGAGAAAATAGGTGGTATGCAAAGAAACAGAGTATTTTGACTATTAAATTAAAAAATTAAGTACCCCCAAATCCTGTTTAAATTTTTTCTCTAACACTCTTAAATTTATGTGATCTGAGCTTTGTTCAAGCTGAATAGCTGCTCATAGAGTTTGTAGAGACATTAGGTAATTTGGAAGCAGGAAAGATGAAAGATTGGCAGCGCCTTCACTGGGAATTGAACCACGGACCTCTGGAATACCGGCCCAATATGCAGAAACACTACACCATGAAAACACGCTAGGAAGGCGGGAGAAATATCTTATATACTTCCCTTTTTAAAGGGTGACTGGGGTTTTTACGGGACCCAATCGCCAAATCCCGGGTGTGAAGAATCCTCATCCAACACCATTTTAGTTCGGGCGCCACTGCAGAGACATTATTTTTGGAAGCAAGCAAGATGAAGAATGAGCAATTGCCTTCGCCGGGAATCAAACCACGGACTTCTGGAATACAGGCCTAGCATGCAGAACCACTACACCATGAAAGCACACTAGGAAAGCCTTATAACGTTAGCAAAAATAATCTGTTTTTACTTTTAGCCATAACAAAATTTGTCACCGATGATATTTTCAAAAGGAGTAATAGAAATGGATGTTGTATTTAATAGGAAATAAATTTAAGTTCCTATAAAAAGATAATAATATCTCATTAATTCTTTTAGATTTAATTGATTTATTATGTCTACACCTTATGTTGCCAGGCTCATATTGCTCTATTTTTAATTAGAATAAATTTTTTGCCTCGATTTGCTTACTCTAACTGCAGGTATTTTGCCTTCTGGTTGCTTTGTATTCCTAACTTTTCTATGGGATTTGTGAATATCGTCGTTTAAAGAACGTGTAAGAAATTGTTCATTTAAATATTTGTGTTAAAATAATGAAACAAACCTAAATTTTCAAAATAGAAAAATGGCTAGGTTTGACTAAAAGCTAGAAAAGTGATTATTCCCATGTAATGGATCCAGGACAATCCATTAGCATTAAGAATATTGAAAAGAAAAATTGTTTGTAGAAAATGTAGAAAGTTATTTATCATTTGGTTTTACTTAAAATGGAGATGAAATGGAGCCTCAACCTCATTATGTTGTTTGCAATAAACAATTTTCTAATCAAAGTATGAAACTCTTGTTACTAAGAAGACATCTCAAATTGTAGCCAGTCAATTGAAAGGATAAATCTGAAGAATATTTTAAGAGGAAATTATCAAAGTTCAGAAATAGTAAACATATAATGAAAACACTTTGGAAGCTAGGCCCAAATTTTGCACTAAATTTTAGGATTAAAGTATTATAACTTAAATTTTGATAATTAAAATAGTAACTAATATTTAATATAATATTTTTTATGTGTGCATACCTAATACAAATAGTCAATAGATTGTGCAAATGACAAAATATATTTTTTTAATAATCATTGTAAAATGAGGTGGGGGTACTAAAATTTTTTATTTTTTTGTTTAGATGGTACGCATTAGTCAAAAGGTCGAGAACCACTACTTTAGAGTGTGGTAAACTATTAAAACAAAAATTGATTTGGCTCTAGTGTTGTAATCTTCTTAATTCATTACAAAATAAAAAGAGGGAGAATAAGTTAATAAGAAAATAAAGAAAATTATATTTAAACATTTAGATACCTTTATAAAGTGTTTTAGATATTTATATGAAACATTTGAATGGTCAATTTCAAGATGTTTTCATTATAAATTAAAATCAAATAAAATATTTATAATAACACCATATACAAAATTGAAAAGGATATAAAATTTTTAGTTGTCTGATTAATTAAGTACCTTTGCATTGGTAAAATGCTTTCTAGAAGTTTGAAATCAAGGTATAGTTTCCCTATGTGGTTCTGTTTAAGAATGTTATTTTTTGATCAAAAAGTGCTAATACATTTTACATTTCTTAATACAAAGACATTGCAGTTGTTCATTGTTTTTCAATTTTAATTTATTGCTATTCTTTATGATGTTTTCTCTGATTCTTTTAGTATACATTAATTGGATTGTGTGAGTAACAAAGTGAGAAAATATTAGTAGAAATGAATAATTTATGTTATCAAATATGCATAATAATAGTTTTAATGTATTTTATGGTTTCAATTGTTTATTAAAGTATCAGTTGTTGAAGAATGAAGAAATTTTAAATTGTTTTTAAAAATATTCATTTAAATATTGCAGTGAAATTGTGATGAAGGTAACTTCAGTGCTTCTGTCTCAGCCACAATCAAAAATCAGACATGAAATCAAATACTTTGGAGACAAACATAGGTGAGCTTCAAAATTATATGCATGCTACTTCTAATATATATTTCAATATGTCAGCAGAATTTATTTTTTTTTCAGCGACCAGAAGTGTCAGAGTATGTCTAAACTTTTGCACAGATTTACTTTAATTTATGAAAATTTTCGCAATATAGGTTTTTAGAAACTTATTCGGGGTAATTTATTCAAATTGTTTCACAGATTTATTATAATGTGTTATTTTAATATAAATTTTGAAATAAGCAGAAAAATAATTTTGCAAAACTATGATAAAAAGCTTTATAATTCAGTGTAGTTCTTCTTTCACTCTGCATGATCCTATATCCAGTGAGATTGGATATATAGTAACTTTTGGAAATCACATCAGACCACAGTGAGTTAAATACAGTGAACCCTTTCTCAATGATTTCCTCTGAAGCACCTCTGAATGTAGATGACAACCTCTGAAAACAATGAATAATTCTGAGAACATAAATAAATATAGGTATTAATAATGTCTTTGTATTAATAACACTGTTTATGACTATTGCTTCTCATCCAAATGTGCAATATAGCAAGCGCCAAAAAAATTTAATTTCACTATCAAATTAAAGTATTTTGCATTCCTTACATCAGAGAGTTATATTTACAATTCTTAACTGTGGCAGCAATTTACAATTGTTAACTGGGATTAGTTGCTGAGTCAGAAAGTAAATATGCATATCCAATAGTTTCTGTGTCAAAGACAGATGAAACTGTAAGATTGTGTGTAGACTATTGTTACCTGAACTCTCAGGCTAAAATTGATGCCTTTCTAATGAAAAATGCCACAGACCAAATTTACCAAATGTTCAAGTACATCACTCTGATTGATCTTCTTAAAGGATACTGGCAAATATGATTAAATACTGAGTGCCAACACTTGGCTTCGTTTGTGATGCTCCAACTACAATATGCTTTTATTGTTGTTAGATTAAGAAACGTTGCTATAACTTTCTGGAGAGCTATCAACAAACTTCTGACCAAACATAAAGGCAATGCTGTGTGTTATATTGATGATGTGAATTGATGATATATTTTCCAGTGACATATTTCCTGTTGATTGTAAGATGATTAAAAGTTAATAACTTTTGAAAGGGACCTCAATAAAATAGAACGTGATGATAAAGAAATGTGTGCAGATAGTTTGTCAAATTATTCTTGCAAGAACATGCTTGCTAGTGATGGTTCTAATGATGATGAAATTGTGCGACTTCCTAAGACTGTTTTCTGACCAAGAATTTCAAGCAGTTCTAATTCAAGGACACAGATTCTGATGATTCGATTCTGAAGGAGAATGGTCATCAGTATAGATAATCTGGCAGTCTTGGAAGAGTTTTTAAACCAATAAGGAATAAAATAAATATAGAAAATATTCTGTATTGTGTAGCATATATAGTGTATACGCTGCACTAAAATATCAAATTTATCACCGAAAGCACCACAAAAATGGCAAACATGAAGCAATGAAACTACACCAATCTATTCGTAGCTCCAAGCTGCAAGGACATATAGGGGTATGTGTTCAATGACCATGATGCAGGCCCGTAGCATGTTATTGCATTTCAGATAATGGTTATTTTCTGGATATTTTGTGGACGACAATAAGCAGTATCAATCCCATGCCAGACCAAGCCGATTACAGATTGAAGTGACTCTCATCTGAGAATCTTATGCAAGTCATTACATTCAATCAGACAATTGCAGATGGATGTATGGGGCTGTCTGAGCAATGGGACTCGCACAACAGATCTACCGGGCATATAGTCCTCCTCCTTCCAAATGTGGGGCAGCAGTTTTTTTTTTTTTTTTGGAGGGGGGAGATCTGTTCTACACCACCAAGGAACTCATTTACCACCAGCTAAGCTTTGATGTGCTGGTTTTGTTTTGCTGATATTGCAATATACCTGTGTCCTGCAGGCATCCAGGGGCACTGTATGGAATTGATATCCAGCTTTTTTTTTAAAAAAAGGGGGAGTATGATTCTCCAAGGAGACTTTCCATGGCCAAGAGGAGATATGCATTATAGCACATTATGAGAACTAGAAAAAAGAAAATTACATTGTGACAGTGTTGTGTGCACTTGAGAAAATATGCAGTGTAACATGGTAGATGTATAAATTTGACAATCTTCTTTTTGACAAAGGAAAGTTCTTTGAAAGATAAGATACTTTAAAACTTCATTAATTTTTTTACTTTTAAGAAAGTGTTTTTACTTTTTAACACTTTAACAGACAATGGTTTTGTCACAAAGCAGAAGTAGTTTTGTGTACTAATTGCAAAAAATTGCCTGCTGTATGGTGAAAGTTTGGCGAGAAAACACACGCATTAGATGTTAAGATGATTACCTTCACAGACCAAAATTGTCTAAAACTTTAAGTGATTATCTTGGAGAGGGTTCACTGTCTTATAGTTTTCAAGCATTTTTAATTTATAGATGCAGTACAAAGTATTCCAAAACGTGGACATCCAATAACCGTACCTCCTGACAACCATCAATTTTTTTTTTTAAAGAAATTTTTTGTGAAAAGGGAGAAAGAAATAGATTCTGAGTTAGCACAAACATAATGCTTCACACATGTGAAATTTTTTTCAATAATATAGCATGTGGAGGTCCTGATTCTTAATTAATTTCAGCACTAAATAAAACATCTCGATATTGATCAGACTTGTGCAGCAATGTTTAAAGCAATTACGGTTTTAAATAAAAGCAACTGGAGATTCAAACTGCATAGTAACCTTTTATGCTGATATTAAGCTTGGCAGCAATTACAAACTTAAGTTGTGAAGTGTAGAATGAATTGACAAGGAGAAAACGGAAATTTCTGAAAGTAGATTTTGTAAATGATATTCAGAGGCAAAATTCATAGGCCATTTAGTGCTGTTTGAATTAAGAATAACTTCAATAAGCCTTAAGAGTACTTTTCCATTCTGTACCTGCACATTTTTTGGTGCTTGACAGATATGATCAATATGTGTGTGCTTGCCATCTATAAAATATTCCTGTAACTAGAAATTATTTACTATTAAAGAACCTGTCAAAGGGCATGGCTGGTGCATAGTGGAAATGTCTTTAAGTATATGCGGGAATTCATTTCATCGGAACTCAGATAAGCCTTAAGCATATGCCAGAAATATATAAGTATAATAAGTAAAATTATTTTACATATGCCAGAAATATATGTAAATATAATAAATAAAATTATTTTAACTGAGATTCAAATTCCTCAGAACAACATGTTTTTAGCTGCCAGTCTCATGATGCATCACCAGTAGTGTATAGCAGACACTCACTAAGTTTATGATGATAGCAAGGAATTTGAAGTTTTTTGCATATTACAAACAAAAGTGAAATTTTCCAGTTAATGGAATTTGTGAAGGAATATGGAGAAATGATAATAAATGAAGATAATGTAACAGAAATATTGAATATGATGACAATGCTTCAAATCAATTAATGAACGAACAGTGAAATCTGTAACCAAATTTCATGAAATTGGAACATGAGAAAAGAAAAAGAAATTTATCATTAAAACAAAATTTGCATGAAAGCCGAGAAAAAGTTTTCTTGCACATATATACTTACAAGTTTTGGTTATCAGCATTTTTAATTATTTAACACACTTCTGTAATCAGAGTTGCTTTGCTACCTGGAAAACTGGTAAAAGTCAGAGAATTCGAAAATTGACCAAAAAAGTCAGGGAATTTAAATATTGTAGTCAATATCTGGAAAAGCCAGGGAATTTCGTACAGCTAACCCCTCCCCCAAAGAAAACTCGATTTTTTGCCCCCAGGGATCTCTTTCTTAGTGAATTATGTAACATGTGAGCATCATTCAGGCAGCTGGCATAGAGCCAATTTTTGCAGCTCCAATCAGATTGTCTTTTAGAAGGGCAAAGCAAGCTTCCAGCAACTTTAATTTCCAGTAACCTCGGCAATCGAGAGACTTGCATGCGCATGTGCAGCGCATGTTGAATGGAAGAAAATATCTTCCCATTCTCATATAAAACAAAATCGGTTTAATCCTGGTTTATGGTACGCAGGGGATTTGGCGACATTATGATCAGCAGTAAACGGGTGATTTAGGTGTTCGCAACAATTTTCAAAATCATGCCAAGGCCGTACTGTATACTAGGATTTTGCCACAAAATATTTTAAACTGTATTATTTAATGTGGCTTCTTCCTTCTAAATTTATTTATTAATTTTTTCGAATTTGAGACAATTTTCTCTGACATACTCCTGAAACTAATTCTAGCATTATGATGGCATAACATCACGAAATTTAATGCACATATTTGTAGCTTATGTATATTTTTTGCTCCTAAATAAATATAAAATACCTGCATTTATTTAAAAATATCATTCAATAGATTTCTTTTGTTCGTGTAGCTGCAAAATGTCTGGAAAAAAAAAAAAAAAAAAAAAAAAGGAAACCTTATTTTAAATCCAGATTGGTCAAATTTTCAATCTTCAGTGGCGGAAAAAAGCTCCTATTATAGTTATAAAAGTAATGTTTTGGGGATTATATGTAAGTCATATGTAATTGACAAATTTTATGTTTTCAAATGTTACCATAATTAATTTACCTCTCAGGACAGCCAACGTACACTATGCAGATAAACTGGAATATTTTCAAAACATACCTGAAATACCTGGAGTCAGGGAACTTTTAGTCAGGGAATTTCATTCTCCTGTTTGAGTGACAACCCTGTGTAATATTAAATCAGAAAGCTATAGCAAAGAAACTTTATTATATCAAGTAATGACTTTTTAAACCAATAATCATTTTCTCTTTCGCTAGTGCTGTTAAAATACCTGCTGCTGATACAGATGAACCAGCTCATGAAGTTGTTATAATAGTGGATCCAGTATCAAAAGGGGCTGCTAAGTTATCATCAGTGCTCATGGTTTTACAGAGGGTTATAAATGCTCACTTCAAAATTTTTTTCAACTGTGTGGATAAACATTCAGCTATGCCTTTAAAAAGGTAAGAATAATGTTCCTTTTGTTTATTATTCACATTCATTTTATTCTGATGATATTATAAAAGTGATGCTAAAATGCAGAGTTATATAAGCAAGTTTTAAATAATTAAATTTAAAAGTAAGGCTGAAGTTTAAGTGTTCAGTCAGTGCCTGATGGTGTAGAAAATGATTTACTTGTTTTTCTATGCATTATATCCAATGCTTTCACTACATTTAGCACTTTGATCTCTCAGGTGTCAAATTCCAGTGAAAAAAAAAAAAAAATGTTAGTTTTGGAACTATTTTATAAAACTTTATACTGCTATTATCACTGCAATGTGAAAAATACAAATGCTGTTTCATTTCTTTCTCTATCACTGTTTTTTATTGTTATTATTATTATTATTATTATTATGGAGCAGTTATGATGAATACAGTGGGTACTTGAGAGGTTAAAATTTATATTGTTTAATAGCAGTAGGGAGAACCAAAGCCTAATGTGCAGGGGGAAAAAAAAAAAAAGCATCCAATTTGACCCCCTTCCCCTCTCTCTCTCTCTTTTTTTTTTTCTTCTTCATTATGTCTGTATGTACAGACAGAAGAAAGAGCTCTTTTTTCCAAAATAGAATGGATTTTTTTATGAAGTCTGTTTGTACATATGTATCTGGCATGACTCAAAAACGATTAGCCGTAGAACATTGAAATTTTGTATGTGGGACTGCTATAATATCCAATTGTGCAGTTCCCTTTTCTGTTGCAATCAGCAGTACGAGAAGTATATATATATCCATTTCCATATCTGGCTTAAAAGTCCTTACCTGCTTTTTATTTTTGCACTTGTTGGTCATAGTCACATATTTCCAGTTACAGAAGTGTTTTAAATGAAGAAAATGTTCATTTTTTGGAAAGTATTCATTTCATGTCAAATTAAAAAAAAAAAAAAAAAGAAAATTAGTTTTGGACAAATAACGAAATCTAATATTTAGTGTGGTTTTCCGATTCCTATACTTATATTTGGGAAAGTTTAATACTCATTATGAAAATATAAAATTATAAGAAGTTTGACTGATAAAAAATTGTCTGGGATATTTAATTTCAAATTTTGCAGTTTTTGATGTCATTTTTCAATTTGTCTTGAGGGATCAGTTAATTAAGTTAGAATAATTCAAGGAAGTGAGTTTAAATGAAGTGCAGCAATATTTATACATGTATGTATGTAATTTAATAGGACATACAAGGAAGTCATGGTGTCCATATCAGATTTTTCTTCAAAGTTTTCCATGAGTTTTTGTTTATTGATCTTCCAGAGATAGATCAACAAATTGGCATAATTAGCACTTGTTATAAGCTTATTGTTAGCATAATTAAGACAGTTTGGTTTTAGAGTTTGAACAGAAGAAGAGTCGGGACAGTTAATTTCTTTCTATATTTCTAATTGGACCTGACTCTAAAGCTTCATTCAAAAGATTGCTGTTTTCTATGCATCATGCATGAGACTGCTGTGTAGGAAAATTTCTTCAAGCAATCCTGCAAATATAAAAATAAATGGTTTTTCAATGAATACTGTATAATCAGAATGTAAAACAGTTCTTATAAGGAATATTATTAGCATATGTGTTTTATATTTAATAAATTAATTTTTCATATTATATTGCAAAATATTCAATAAATTTTTTAAATCATTATTTTTTAGAAAATAAATAGGACTAGTTGTTTAGCCTTATAGTGGTATAAAATTTCCAATATTTTATCGTGTATTGAGGAGTATCATGTAGCCTATAAAGATATTAAGAAAAAAGAGAATAAGGCATAAATTTAATTAAAAACATAATGGTTTGTGTAATCATCAGGTCACATCTCCCAGAAGCAACTGTGAGATTAACTAAGCAGATTCAAGATGCATTGGGCTTTGACAGAAAAACTGTGCTAAACTGTAATTAGCTAAAGCTTGTTGGCCATGGGGCAGGGGGAGACTTATTCACACAAATTTTCTTGCTGATCACAAACTATCATGATTAAAATTAAAATGTAAGAATATTGCTGAATTTTAAAGGAAAGCATCATTTGTAGTCCTTCCTCCATTTTTCTAGAAGGGTGAGAATAGCCTCATTCCTTATTTAGCATCAACAAGCTGTAGATCAATTAAACCAAATTCATGCCAGCATTGCATCGTTTTTTAAAAACATTTTCTCTTGGAAAGTACTCGTGACAGTGTTTGTTCATGTCATATTAATTTTTACAATATTCTGTATAATGCATTTGATAGATTTGCCAAGATATTATACAGAAGCAATCTCGTTATTTCTGAGCATGTAGTGTTTTTCTTAAAATTCACAAATGTTTCAGTTTTTCATGCAATGAAACTATACATGATAGAAGATGTAGGATGAAAATGCTAACAGCTGTTGATAAAAATGTTAGAATAAAGCTGGGGCTCTAGGTCAAGAGAAGTCACCTGCGTTTTTATTTAACAGAAATCACCAGAAGATAGAGACAAGCTGTGAATAGTAATAGTCTCTTTGATGTGATGAAAAAAAAACATAATAATCAATAATAAATAAAAAATTTTTAATCAATCTCTTGATGTCAAAAACATATTTTATTACCAAAAGACATCAGTAAATTAATGGCACTGTATTCAGGGAGGCTGACTGATATCCAGGTATTAACTTAAAAAAAATAATAAATAAAAAAATTTAAAAATATATCCGAAAATTTTGAATTTACTAATTTTGTTTTTAACTTTTTTTTTTTTTTTTTTCTAGTCAATGCCGCAAGTGATAGCTGACTAAACCAAATCCCTGCGAGGTTGATTTATCAGATTAATTCTTTTTTTTTTTTTTAACTAACAAATGCTAGATAGTTCTTATTCATACCTTAAAATATCTGCATCTTAAAACTATTTGATTCAGACATTTACTGACAGTTTTCTTGAGTGCCCATACTTGAAATCTCTGTATATTGTGGGCATAGTTAATGATGAGTATATTTGTCCTCTGTTTCGAACTGAAATTTATCATGCACACTACATGAAAGATTAAGTTTCAGCGGTCTTGTATAATGATATGCTTTTAACCAGTAATAAGTCAGCATTTCTCAAGAGCAACTCATTTTAGTTGCCATTCCTAAAAAAATAAAAGTAGCGGTTTCTTAAATTTTTAGAAAATTTGAGCAAGATTGCATTAAAAGGAAATTAATGTTAGATAAAAATTAAATTTGTTAGTAATGTTTCTTGCTACATATAGATAAAACTATATTACATATAGATTTATCTATATTACATATAGATAAAACTCTAAGTAATTGTTATTGAGATATGCAACAGTATCAAGTAAAAAAAAAGTTAATATTTCTGGTGTGATAAAAAATTAAATAAATAAAAATTACTTAGTACTGTAATAATAAAAGCTAGAACATGCTAGATGAAAAGTTTGAATTTGACATTGAACTTAATAATTTGGCTAGATATTGTAATTTATTCTAAACATAGTTAATGGATTTATTTTGCAGAAAAAGCAAAAAATGGTGAAAATTGAAATGTGTTGGTTTCATGTCTGTTTTATTTCAGTCTGAATAAATTTATTATGGATTTTAGGAAGTTTTGCATCTTTCTAATCCTCCAAGCAGCCAAGGTTGTAACCTTTAATTCCTAAAGTTCTTAGAATTATCATGGGAAAGGTGGATTTGCTTGATTATTATTAAAAAATGCATCTACCAAATTTGTATTGAACTCTTTTCTCTCACTCTACTACATTAAGTCGGAATATGTTTCAAAATGCATATGCACTGATGGAAAATAAATTCTAACACCAAGAAAAAATCAGTTTAGAGGAATTAAATGTAGGCAAAACATTTGTCTAGGTAACATTTATTTTATTGATGTTTCAATGTCACAAACTAATATGCATGAAGAAAGCCATTTCAGATATGAAAGAGTGATGTATTCATAATTGCTGTAGTCACCATGATGTTGATTGCAAGCATACAGATATGCATTCATTGCATCATACAAGTGCCATATATCATTTTGTGGACTGTAGTTCCATGCCTGGTGCACTTGGTCAGTCAAGTCAGCAATGGTCTGTGCTGGTTATAGATGTTGCTAGATTTGCCATCTAGTCATGTCCCATGTGTGTTTGTTGGGAGAAAGATCAGGTGAGGCAATGTGTTAAAACTCCTTTGAGTATGTGGAATGATAGCAACAGTATGGAGACTAGTGTTATCTTGTTAGAAAATGCTCCCTATAGTATTTTAAAGAATGGCAGCACAACCAGTGCAATCACTCATTTAATGTACAAATTTGATATCAAGGTGTGTGAGATAAGGATAAGAGTGCTCCTGCTGTCATAAAAAATTGCTCCCCAGACCATAACTTGTAGTATAGATCCAATGTGTTCAGCTTGATTCCAAGTGCGTGCTTGGCCTCCTTCTAATCAACATATGGCCATCAAACAGTTCTCATTTGAGAACAGAACAAATATCCATTTCACCCTCCACTGAGATGTAGCTTAACACTTTTGAAGTTGTAGTTGGGGTGATTTGGAGTTAGTGGTATGGCTACTATGGAGCATCTGGCTTAAAGCTGTCTCTCAAGTTGTAGAGACATTATGTATTTTTTTAGAAGCAAGCAAGATGAAAAATAAGCAACGGCTTCGCCGGGAATTGAACCATGGACCTCTGGAATACGCATCCAGCATGCAGACCACCACACCACAAAGGCATGCCAAGAAGGTGGGAGAAATATTTTATAAAGTAAGTGATTTGTTACTAGTTGGTACATCACTACCGTGCCAACAAAAGCTTGAATGTCTGTTGTAACAAAGTGGTGGTGATGTGCCACAAACATGCAGTGAATTCAGCGGTCCTCCTTTTAAGTGGTGGCACATATGTGTGTGGGGGAACTAAAGGCTTCTTCAGATAGTACTTTCCCTTGAGATGTGACTACTGCTGCCAACATGCATGGGCAGTGGGTAAATTCCTGTCAAGTCTTTTTGCAATACTCTGAAAAGAAAATCTGGTGCTTTTAATGTATTAGTAAAACCAAATCGCCAAATTTTCAGAATGTGCCAAAATCTGCCAGCCATGCTTATAGCAAATCTTTAGGCAACCATGTGCAAAGCAAATCTTTAGGTAACCATACTAATAACAGTTATTCAATTTAATAATGTAGCCATTTTCATAAGCATTCTTTCATTTTAAGTTATGTGTATTTTTGTTTTATTCCAAGTTACAAAATTATAATAAATCATATTTTTTTGCCTCGTGATCATTAGGAAAATTTCACCAGAACAAAAATTTAAGTAGATATAGTGACTAATTTGAGTTAAATACTTTATTAGAATGTTATATACATGATAATTTTGCATGCAGTTTTTTCAATTAACTTAAATAATGACATATGCCATCATTTTTTTCATCTATAAAAAATCAGCAAATTGCCCCATGGTGGTTGTTCTTATATTTATATGTAAGTACCAAAAATCCATCTTATCATTGCCCTATTACATGGCCTTATTCAAGCTCAATAAGCTACTGATATTACTTTCATCTCTTTAAAGGTATTCTTCACTCAAATCTTGTTCACAGTGCCTCATCCCAAAGATAAATAAAACATACAAATTTTACATCACATATTTAAAGCAAGCATGATTTGCATATTCATAGTTTCACTGCTAGGAACACATAGTTCATCTAGCATGAAATTTGAATAGATGCCATCTTTCAGATAAGCATACATGCCTCCCAAATTTTGTTTGTTAAGCATAACTTCTTGATGTTGCGACTTCATGTCCCATTAGTGTATATGTATTTCATTTTAGGATATCAGCATAACTACTGAATGTAAGTACACAACTTGGCCTCTTGAAAGATTAATAATAAGTCTCATATTTTTCCATTGTGCACCTGCTCTCATTTATTTACTTGTGTTCTATTTTTTATGCACCTGCTACACATTTGTGTGTGTATGTGTGTGATTGACAAATGGTCTGGCCATTAGATGACACTATCATTAGGTCTCCACATGTGTTTGGCTTCTCCTTTACAAGTGCTAGAAAGCATGGCAGGTGCACAATAGAAAAGTACCATAACTTTCTATTAGTTTTCATATATAATGTGATAAAATATATCAAAAAGTATAATTTTATAATTTTCACTATATAAACATGCCATTTATGTTTATGCACATGTTTTTCTTAAACTGCATTTTTATATAATATTCTAGTATGTTATGTAAAAGTTTTATTTTGTTTTATTAAATTTGATTATAGTTTCTTCCGTTTTGTTCTAAATGAAGAGCCAGTTTTCGGCCCAGATGGTGAGTTTGGCATTGCACCTATAGCAAAATTTTCAGGCTTGCCTTCAAGCCCTCTCTTCACTTTAGGCATGGTTACTCCAGATAACTGGTTGGTTGAAGTTGTGAAATCTCCTTATGATTTGGATAATATTCATCTTGAACAGGTAATGTAACATTACTGCTCTAATACTATTATTGCAATTATTATACTTGAAGTACTAAAGACAGTTACAAATTAGAAGATTTGTAATTTCAGTACAGCACACAGTATTTGTGTTATATATTTTTAAAATTTTTAATGTTTTAAATTTTATTTATTTATTTATTTTTAGTTTCATATTTGTGTGTGATTAATGTTCATAAACATTAAAGTGTATCTTATTAATTTTTTTTTATATATTTTAAAGATTATCGTCAGAACATGATTTTTAGATGTACATGTGTTCATATGTAGCTAAATTTTGGTAAACTAAAGTTGAAGGAAATGCTAGTGGGGAATAAAAGTTAATGAGACTTTCTTTAACACATTTGTTGCTAAAGCTGATTTAGTGCACCTGTTCACATGACCAAGATCCTGTCATCAATTTTGTGCTTTTGTTTTTTGTTTTCTTATTTAAATATAGACATAAAAGATAATTTAGAACAGTAAATAAATTCACACAAGTATACTCGGAATTGAAGTAATATTTTTGCTCGTATAGCTAACTGCAACATAATACGGAACTACACTTGTAAGCAAAATTAAAAGAATTTGAAAGTTATGTCTATTTTTATAAAAATTATTGAACCAAAGTGACTAATTATGCTGCAAAAGAATTATGCAAATATTCTCAGTCGAAAATGTAATTATACATTTTTATGTCTAAAAAGCTGTGATTGTAGAAGGTATGTAAGTGCATGAGGGATTTTTGGCAGTTTATGTACTCATACTCCTGCATGACATATGCCATGTTCCTTGCAAGAGTTGGGTAAATTTTAAAAGGTGTCAGGTAAAATGAATAGCTGTGAATGTCTGGATGCTGGAATGAGTTCGAGAAATATGGGTAGATGGAAGCAGGCCAGTTACAAATGTAGGTGGTTACAGAGCTCAGTATAATGCCCAGTATCATCTGCAATTTGTAGAAAACACTTTCAGGACACTGGATCCATGTCAAGAAGACCTGGAAAAAGCCGACCAACATCCACAACAATGAATGAGAATCGTTATTTGGCATTTCCAGCACGGTGACACAGGATTGCTTCACAGCTTTCACATGAGCTGTATGCTGCCACTGGAACCCAAGTTTCATGGTCTACTGGTATATGCTGGTGTCATGAGATTGTGTATATGCCCAGAAGACCCACTGTTTGCATCCTGCTTACTGCAGCACACAAGCGAGAACATTTAGCATGGTACAGATTACAATGGAGCTCCATGCTTTTTACAGAAGAGTTGATATTCAGCCTGCACACTGATTCTTGACATACCTGTATCTAGAGAGTGCCTGGAAAAAGATCATTACAATGGTGGAGGTATAATAGTTTGGGCAGGCACAATGTTGGTTGGCTGCACAGCCCTGCATGTGCTTGACAAAGGCTTTGTGACTGCTATGAGGTATAGAGAGTTCTTAGAGCCCTATGTTCAACCTTTCAGGGCACAATTGGTCCTGAGTTCATGTTAATGGATGACAACGTTTGCCCACATAGGGTTCAGTAGAAAAATGTGAATATTCGCTTCATGAATTGGCCGGCCAGATCTCCTACCTCTAATCCTATAGAGCATGTCTGAGATGTTCTTGGAAGGGCAATTTCATCTTGCCATCCCCCTCCAAGAGCCATTCTGGAGTTGAAAATTACCATGCTGCTGCAGCTGGATTGACGACTACAGGGACTCCTCAGTTGCCTCATCCAGTTTGCCATCATTCTGTGCAACCTAACTGGCTGTGAGAGGGGCCCACACCCTATATTAGACTCATTTCCAGTTCGATTTCAGAATGTGGATTTTGGACATACCTGTGCTGTGATCTTTACTGATAATCATGTGTACATAAAATGATTTTCGAATGGTACATTTCTTTCTCTGTTATAAATGTATATTCATACTAAATTTCATTAAAACCTGTGCATTACTTTTTCAAAAGTTCGACATAATGAGCAAATTCTCTTAATTTTGCACCGAAGTATAGACAAAAAATATGCATCCATTTTGCATGTATAAATGAAACTCCTGTGTGATGTGTTATTTTCCAGTAATCCTACACAAATCACTGAACACAAATTTGAGCAGTCCATTTATAACATTTTCTAAGAGAATAGAATAAACCTTTTAAAAAAATATACTTTCTAAACAGTTAGCTATTGTATCTATATTTTGAGAAATAAATGATCCATTTTTGTGCACCCAGTATATTATTTATCCTCTTTCTGCATCCCAAACACCTAAACACTGCATGCAATTGCTATGGAAATACTTGTACTCAATGATTTGGATAAGGTAATCATCAGTAACGAATTATCTCATAGCTGGGAAATAAATTTAGTTTGCCAAATACAAGAATTCTTGCAATTTGCTCCAAATGTGTTAAATTATGCCTCTCAACATAAAAGATTTTGTATAGAAATATATATAAACATATTATCCGAGAAAACAAAATCTTGCGTATTTTTAACCATTTGCATGAACATTTTTTATGTATAATTGCATTAAGTAGAATTTCTTTCTTGTCAGTGAACATTTTTTATGTATTGCATTAAGTAGAATTTCTTTCTTGTCTACAAAGGGTTAATGATGAAAATCTGTTGTTATGTATGAAATGTTGAAATGCAATCAAAATCAGAAATTAATTTTTTTTTTTTTTTTTTTTTTTTTTTTTTGTGTGTGTGTGTGTGTGTGTGTGTGTGTACTGAAAAGGCTATTATAAAATCTAGGCAATTTTTTTAAAACTGCATAAGGTACCAGTTGCTTCTTTCGCAGGTTTTGAAAATAATAATACATTGACAAGAAAATCATTAATGGTGTTCAGATTTTGGAAATAATGGTAATGTAACAGGAAATCTTTTGGAAAGTCTTCAGATTTCTCACGTACTAATAAGTACGATAAGCCTTTAGTAAAAATATGCATTCAATAAATTTACAAAAAGAATATTGATTTCGTGTACTAACAAAAATAATGTGTTATATACCTCGGTTAATATGCGAAAAGTTTTTGAAAGAATTTAAAAGGAAAAGATAAAGTGTATTTACAAGCATTTTTATAAGAATTTATGAAGCACTCCAATGATTTTAATTGGAAAAGTTTGACAGTAGCTGTGCTTTCCTCAAACTGTGAAAAGAGATACTTCTTGATCATTCAGCTCAAGTGCAGTTATTAAATTATTGTTTTAGCATGTTACATGGAAAACTGATATTAGATAACAAATACTTCAACTGTGATTTCCATTAGTATATGCTTATGTTAATATTTTCACTTTTAATGGGAATGATAAGAATATTTATATGTATCAGCTGAAAATATTTTATATCATCTGGTTTTTATTTTTATACTTAGATTTTTTTTATAATTTTTAACATTTGTTAACTTATATAAAATTTTTATTTCAGTCTTCTATTATGACAATATTGAAATATTTTTATATGTAAACATGTCTCTGATAGGTGGAAAGTATTGTCCATGCTGATTTTGAACTTGAGCATCTTCTTATTGAAGGTAAATCAAAATTTTTAAAGATAAGAACTTTCATAATCATTTTAGTAAATTTTATTATATTGGAACTGAGAGAATATTCACAATTTAGCTGATCGACATGATATGTCAGAAGGTGGCTAACAATATTGTGTGCTTGAATTATATTGAGCTTGTGTGACTGTAGCTAATGACTATTTATTTTTCAGATCCTGAAATATAAAGTGTCAGGTATACATTACATTTCTAACACATCTCATATAAGAGATCTTACCCACAGAGGCTACTTAAAACTTTATGTTGTCTGCAGGGAGAATACTTTCACTTTAATCCTTTCACAGTGAAGTCATCCATATCTCCCATGCATTCAGACATTGGCAGGTCACCCAAATGTCTGCATCTATTTTCTACCTGATGCTTTTCCCTATTAGTGAATGGCTCATTGGTTTCAGGAATTGTTAAAATTCCATGCTAATCATCTTTTAGACGCGACTAAAGTAGCTCTCTTGTTTGAATGCTCCTTTGTTTAGGATCAACATTTAGCTATTGATACTCGCAGTTACAATCCTGCCCGTATCTGAAACTGCACACAGTGGGGAAACCATACAAAGATCCCCAAGGAAGAGGTAAGCACTTCACTTAAGTAGATTGTTGTTAATGCTGCATTATTCTACTTAGCTGCGGAAAAGAAATCCATTCCAACAGAAATTCATATACATGGGTGTTTCAGATGTTTTAGAGGAACAGATTTTATCCTCTATCGATGTTAACGAGTTTAGGCTTGTTCTGAGATTGAAATTATGATATCATTGACTTTTCATGCTCTGGCTGTCTGTCACACTTGGATAAAAACCATTTAAACAATTTTATCTGTGAGGAACATCATCAAACGCTTGCATATTGGCAAGAAGATGAATAGTTATTAGGCTGCAGGTTGTGTGATACTTGCAACATGTGTAAGAGGCCCCGAAACAGGGGTCTTGTATGTTGCATTGGCGCATACTGGGCAGCAAGAATCAGTTTGTAGTTCTTTGCTTAAGCTTTATATTAAATGTTCTCAGCCACACCAAACCTTTCTAGTACATGTTATTTGCAGGAGACACCTTTGTATTAAAAACATGTTGAGACTAAAGAGTTGTCCTGTAGAAAGTGTTGTGATAAAAGGAGTTTCTTGTTTACTTGACACTTCATGCTTTAGTATCTGAAAACTAAAAGCCATTATCCGTAACTGCATAATTCAATATGATAAGACAGTATTACTATTTATGATTTGCTATACAACTATTTATCTACGTCATTACTACTGTTCTACAAAAAAGTGTTGAAATATAGAGCTATGTAAGCTAATATAAAGCATTAACCCAGTACTTTTTAATTCTTTCTCACTGTTTTCTATTCATAGATACAAGTGTATAATGTATCTTAATGACATAAATTGAACAGTATATTTATAGCAATATAAAAATAGGTAAAAATGGCTAGCCCTTTTTATTTTTGCATAAATTATGCTTCGTTATGCATCCTTAAGTTTCAAAGCATTTTTATCTTATTCTTTTTCCATCAATTGACATTCGATACCCATCAATGGCTGAACTGAGGGCTGGATAAACTATTAAGCAATATAAGCATGTGCTTAGGGCATCAAAGAAAGGAGGCACCAGAAAAAAGTCCATAACCATTCTGGAAAGGAGGCACCAAAAAATTTTTCATTGCCACTTTTATCATGGAATTCATGATACAACTAAACTAAGAGAGAGAGAGAAGGAATGAAGAAAAAGGTGGCATAATCATATGTGGGGGGCACCAGAATCTTTTAAGTGCTTAAGGCTTGTAAAGGTCTTTATCCACCATGGCTGAGCTGTAAAGTTACTGAGCACCGACAGTTTAACCTATATTAAAATCTAGGAGAATAGGCTGACCATATGGGAATTTTCATAGTGTTTTTTTTTTTTTTTTTTTCCCCTTGTATGTTGTGAATATGAGCCTATTTTTCTTAGAAAGTCTTTTTCAAGGGCATCCCTCCTAGGCAGATAATTTTGTATGCATTGCTGTAATCCTAATAATCCTGTGCATGAACTGATATTTGTTTTGTTGGAAAGTTCATTTCCTTCATTTATAAAACAAAACAAAAATGTCCATCAATGAAGTTTAACTCTTTTGCTGCTGCCAAATATAATGCATATCAGATGACTGTTGATCTTCAAACATGTTATAGGTGGTGAATATTTCTTTTGGTGCATTCTGTAGAAAATACCTAATATCACTAAAACATTGAGTTTCTTAAATCTACAGAAAATTTTATGACTTTGTGTTTTTATTCAGTTGTCAGTATAAATGATAACTATTTTAGTAATAGCTTAATTTTTACTTCCTTGTACGAAGTCAGTTTTGACCAATATCGAATGCAATGATGTTTTTGAGTCACATCTGTACGTAAGGACAGAATAAAGGACTCTTTCCCTCCCATCAAACGGAATTATAAAACTGATTTAAAATTGATTCAGAAAAGAATTTTTTCATGGCATCTGTACGTACATACATATGTATGAATCTCACATAACTCAAAAACAAGTAGCCTCAGAACAGTGAAAATTTTGTATACAGTCTTAAAAGTCTTTAATCCAGACTCGTCGGGACTTCGGCCATTCTGGATTATCGATTTTTCCGGATTATAGATCATCAGTTTAAATCTGGTAAGATGGCATGCAGAAATTATAAAATTAAAAATATGAAACCGTAATTTATGAAATAAAGAACAATTATGATCTAAAGGGTATCAAAATTTACAAAAAAAAAAAAAAAAAAAAAGCTTAATATTTATTTGTTTACTTTATTAAACATTTCTTTCAATGTAAGTTGTTTAAGTTGCTTTGTTTTATGTGATAATACTTTCTCTTTAATTCTATAAACAGATATAATTTCTTGTTCAGTTACAAAGTTCCGCTGTTCAAGTCCTATAATTGCTGTGTCGAGAATACCGACTAATTTGTCAATCAAAATTTTTTCGTTTTCAATAACCTCTGTGTCACTTTCTTCACTATCGGAAGCGAATTATAATGACGAGGAATTTGATTTAAATCATATCAAAGACGAAGTACATTGAGATGAAATACTACATTTAGTAAGGAACTATAAGCCAAATAAAATAAAAACATCTGCCCTGAAGATAAGGATAGTGCTGACAGGTCAACTTCAATTCATTGTGCGCCGCAACGTCCCCCCCCCCCTGCAGAGCAGCGTGAAATTGATAAACAGATTTCGGAGTGGTTAGAGAAACAAAGGATATGCCTTTATCCATTTTTTGCTGCAATTCCACTTTTTGTTTGATGGACATCAAAACATACATTTGCTTTGTAGATCATTTGGCAGCTCCAGAATCGGAAATTCTATTTGACATAATCGAAAGTTCAAGCTTACTTTTATAAAATTGCTCTAACAGTCTGCAAAAAATAATAACCCGGATTCAATTCGAAGATTAAGGAACAATGCAATCTGCAACATTAACTGAAATAGATAATTAGATAATTTCAGCTTAGCTTATACCGTCCGTTGTACATTAAACGCGCATGCGTAAACATATTATGCGCATGCGTGAACGCATTATTCGTTGACGCATGCGCAGAAAGTTTGTAGCTTTGAGGTCCGGATTATAGATCATTCCGGATTAACAAATTTTGACTGTATAAGACTGCTATAGCATTTAGTTGGGCACCTCCTATTTTGGTTGCAATCGGTCGCACCAGAAGTATATACAAGGGTTGTTCAAGGTTGACGAGGATTTTTGTATGTAAATAATAGATGAATAGCTGGATCATGATGAAACTTGCAGGTGACGTAATGTATTCCTTCTTGAGTAAATAGCACTCGGCATGACATATTTGGCGCATGCACAGCCGTTGCAGTGAACATGGTGGCAAGCAGTGTGTCTGTGGAGCAGCAGTTTGTGATCAAATTCCCTGTGAAGGAGAAAGTTAAACCAGCTGAAATTTTCAGAAGATTGCGAACATAGTATGGTGAACAAACAATGTCATAAACAAGAGTGTACGAATGGTATGAACAGTTTTGCAAATAACAGGAGCTGGTGACAAATGAAACGCATGGACACATTCGCTCGACTGCAGTCAGACCAGTGAATATCTCTCGGGTTGAGCAAACGATTTTTGAGAACTGGTGAGTGACAGTGCAGGATATTGCTGCCAAGGTGAATATCAGTGTTGGTAGTGTTGAGACAATCATTCATGACCACTTAACGCTTCAACCAAATCTGTGCAAGGTGGGTTCCCTGTCAGCTGACATTTGATCAGAAGTTGTCACGCATGACAGTCTGTGAACAGCTTCTGAATTGGTTTTGAGTTGAAGGTGATGAATTGTTGTAATCCATTATCACACGTGATGAAACATGGTTGCACAATTCAAACCCAGGCACCAAAAGAAGCAGCATGGAGTGGCGGTATAAAGGTTCCCCGCTGTCCAAGAAAAGCAAAATGCAGCCATTCACTGGAAAAATCATGGCAAGTGTCTTTTGGGACATGAAGGATGTTATCTATGTGGATTTCCTGGACAAAGGGAGCATAATTAATGCTCAGTATTACTCCACATTGTTTAGTGGTCCATTCGCAGGAAAAGTCCTGGCATGTTCTATAGAAATACCATTCTTCTCCATGACAATGCCCACCCTCACACGGTTAATGTGACGACAACTCTGGCCAAAATGTGCTGGGAAGTTCTGCTCCATCCCCCCTACAGTCCAGATTTAGCCCCCCCCCATGATTATCATTGGTTTGTACCCCTTAAAGACCATATGGGAGGGAAGAAATTCATGACAGATGAAGCACTGTGGAATGATGTCCTCCAGTGGCTACGACAGCAACCAAGTTCATTTTATGCCAGAGGAATCAAGGAGCAGCCACAATGATGACAACGGTGCCTCGACGCATACAGAGAATACTTTGAAAAGCTGACATAGTTGTGTGCTTCTCAGTAGCATAGCTAGGGTGGGGCAAGGGGAGACATCTATCCCCGGCCGCAGCATCCAAAAAGCACCAAATTCATTTTACGAAATTTTTTAATGAAATGTTTTCCATTTTTGGCACACGGAAAGAGGCGCAAATTCTTCAGTTGTTCCTGGGCGCTGGAAACTAGCTATGCCCCTGGTGCTTCTTGTGCTATCTGTTTCCTCTGAAGAAATAAAAGTCCCGGTCAACCTTGAACAACCCTTGTAAATATATATATATACACCCACTCTGTTACTTGGCTCAAATAAGCTCAGTTTTTTTTTTATTCTTCTATGTTGTAAATTGTGCATTTTTTGCTTTAAAAATGGTTGAATTATGTTATTCTTATCTTCAGGTTAAGGTTTTTATGCCTTTAGTTAATCTGGAAGCAAAAATTCTAGAATTATCAGCAATTTAAAAGTTGTTTAATTGGGGCTAAGCCTATTTTTTTTTTAACCATAGCAGCCATATTTGTTTACATTTGAAACTTTGCAGAATAGAGAATTAAGTCTTTCTCTACCTTCAGTGTCTTTTTTTGAGTAAGACAAAAAAATTTTTTAAAGTTGTTTGCACTGAAAAATCTGTCTTTTTGCCTGCTGGCCGAATTGCTTGTTTTTGCATAGAAGCTGTAATTTTAATTATAATTTTTTTTAATTGTTTAACTGTATTTGGTGTTTTATGGTTTTCTGTATCTTTCAGTTTTTAATAAAAATATTTTGAGTTTTTATGTATTTTTGCCTTGCTGCAAAGTGAGAACTGAAATAATTGAATGAGAACTATATTTGTAATGAAATTCGAGGAAGTACATTTAAATGAATTGCAGGAAAAAATGCATTTAATTTAATATTCTGTACAAGAAAGTCATTTGCTGTACACATCAGCTTTTTTTTAATAATGCTTTTGTGTAAATGTAATTATGAATTTCAGTTATATATCATTATTTGTGACCTTTCCTTTTTTCGGAGGGGGTTTTTTAAAAATTTTAATTCAGTAAATCATCATATCTAAAAAAGTAACCCTACTCTCTATTTCCCTATGCACTATTTTAATGGAATCTATATAAAAGTACTTTAAATGTTTGCTTAAGTAAGGCAAATTATCAATTACCTTTTATTTTTAAAAAAAATAATCTTTGAGTTAGTTCTTTCACCATTTAGCTATATTTTAATATAGGAAATATATTTTAAAATATTTTGAGTGTTTTAAAGTGAATGTGATAAAAAAATTTTAGGTCATTGCTTTGAACAGTCATCAGGAAATCCTCCAAGAGGACTGCAATTTGTTCTTGGAACTAATACATCTCCCTCGATGATGGACACAATTGTTATGGCTAATCTGGTGTGTATTTATTTAGTTATGTCATACATGATATTTATGTGAAAAAGAATTTTATTGTTTATACATAGTCATTTGTATTTGTGCTTTTTAGTATTTGTTCTGTATACTGAGTATGCCTTCCAAATGATTTTTCATGGTTTTTTATTATACCCATAATTCAGAATTATTTATTTTTTTAAAGACTTTACAGAATTATTTATTTACTTACTATTATTTATTTACTTATTTTTATTTTAAAATTATTTTGTGATATTGCTGTTGAATCGAATTTTAAGTGTGAAGAACGTGATATTTAATAAATAAAGGTAACACACAAAACGTTAAAAATCTGAAAGCTTTCAGAATTTTTTTTCTTTTCCTTTTTTTTCCTTTTCTTTCTTTTCTTTCTTTTTCCTCTTTTCTTTCCTTTCTCCCCCCCCCCCCCATTTTTTCCTCTCTCTCTCTCTTTTTTTTTTTTTTTTTTTTTTTTTTTTTTTTTTAATTTTTATTATTTTTTTTTTGTAATAAAATATTAAGTTTTTGGTTCTTACTTCTCTTCTGAAACTTGCCATAATCTGGAAACCATGTGCATTATAATATCAAGAAATCAGGTTCATATTAATTCTTAAATTTTAACATGGAGTATCTCCATTTTTGTATGCATTCATTTTGTTTATTCAGAGTTGCAAGATTTTTGGAGACAAATTATAATATTATTACATCAATTTTAAAGTAAGTCTTGTAGAATTTGATAGCAATACAAGAAGCTTCAGTAAAATTTCTTCAGGAATAGAGTATTTTATACAAGATTATTAAAGGAAACAATTGTTTTGAATCTATTCTTAAAGCAAACTCTGAAAAATTATCACCAAAATAAAAGTGTAGAGTTCCTCATACTAATTCTAAGTTAATGTTGGAAGTGAAAAATCTAAGAACTGATAAGCGAATAATCGCTTAAGTTCGGTGACAAGAAACAACAAGATAGAAGGGTAACTAACCCTTTATTATTATAATAAGATCTAACAAAACCCCGCCTGGGAGTGTACAAACAAAGCCCGCATTTGGGTTTGAACTCAAAAGACTAAGAATTAAACTAAAACTAAGATTGACTAAAGAAATATAGCCGAAGCTATCAATATTCAAATCGAGTTGGCCCCTTAACTTATTTAACTACGAAGCTTAACAAGGGCCTGAGTACGGCTGAGCGCAATACCAGCTTTAAGAGAGAGAGTGGCCAAAAAGGCAGACGTGCGTAAATCAGAAACTCTGATTCTCTCTGAGTAACTTCGTTGTTTAAATACCGCTCCTCCTCATTAAATATTCAGCAAGATTTCAAAACTACATTCTGGCCGGAAGTAGTAAGTTGAAGTTAAGAATTTGACAGGAAAAGAACTTTAACTTAAAACTTAACTGTTAATAAAATTAACATAATCCTTACAAAAGAATAAAAAAACCTAAGTAAATAGGTCCTTTGTAAGTTGGTTTATTGATTGATTTTTTGCGATGAACAGCTAGTTAATATGATTGTATGTAATAAATATTTTTTACATAATAAGTAATGCTTTAGATTGTTTCATTAACACTTAAGTACCATATCTATGAAACTTAAATAATAGTACCTTTTTCTTTCCAGGGCTATTTTCAATTGAAAGCAAATCCTGGTGCATGGCATTTGAATCTGCGTCAAGGAAGATCTTCTGAAATTTATGAAATAGTTGGGTTCGTACTAATAAATTATATTATTTTAATAAAAGAATTATGCTGATTTAAATTTAGTTGCAGAGGCTGCTCAAAGATTTAATGCAGAATATATTGCATTTCTGAAGCTTAGAATGTAAGAAACTTGGAATGTTCTTCTTAAAAGTAACTAATATTAATTAATAAATGAAATTTTTGTTTAAAAAGTTAAGCAAATATAATTTGGAAAACAAAATACTTGCATACTTGTATACTTTTTTCCGAATAAATCAAAAGCTTCCTCTTTGTCATGGCTATTAGTTATGAGATATCCTATCAGATTTTTAAAAATATTTCTTATACTTTGGAAAACTTGGAGGGAGGGACTCTAAAATGGCTCTTTTTATGTATGGCTTTCTAATAACTGGTTCCAAAAATTCTTAGCTGCGATAATATCTTTCTGAATTAAAATTAGGATAAGAAGAGAGAATACACATCATCCTACTTATTAGTGTTTAGTGATTTAGCTTTGTGCAAGTAATTAATGATGTTGTACACTAAGTAGAGAAAATGTTAGAGACATTCCCTTATTTAGCTTTGATTACAGTTAATATTTTCTTAGGTCTGGAGTGTACATTGTGCTGATATCATTCCTTACAAATATCAGCATATGCTGGCCTAATGGTAGTCTTGATTTCATTTAGATTGGAAGATAGCATTTCCAAGTTTTCAAGTGATCTTTCCACTTTGTTAAAAATGCTAAATATGACTGAGATCAGAAGACTGAGTTAGCTGGGGAAATGATTTGAATCAAAGATCATTCTCTTCAGACTAATGTGAGATAAATTTTGCATGATGATAAGGTACATTGTTTGGCTGAAAGTTTCCATCTGTGTCAGAGAACATTCCCACATAGCCCAAAAACATCCTTGGGATATCCCGAGGATGCTGATCGCGGGATATATGCACATCCTCAGGAATATCCCTCGAACCTCCTAAACACCTCCTCCCGAGTGCTTAATGTCACATCCCAGTATATCCTCAGGACATCCTAACTAAGTCCCATCGACAGCATACGGGATGTTATTAGGATATGAACTCCTACTTACTACATCCTCAGGACATCCCAGGTTATCCCAATAACCTCCTAAACATATCCCATTATATCCACAAAACATCCTATCTATGTCCCATTGACAGCATGTGGGATGTTATTAGGATTTGAAATACTACTTACTACATCCTCAGGACATCCCGTAATATCCCAATTTCCTCCTAAACTCATCCTCCTGAGTGCTTAATGTCACATCCCAGTATATCCTTAGGACATCCTATCTAGGTCCCACCGACAGCATATGGGATATTATCAGGATTTGAAATGCTAGTTACAATATCTCTCTAACATCTTAAATACATACTGTCAACTGCTTAAATATCACATCCCAGTATATATACAGAGGAAACTTCCAGTGAAAGTATGTGAAGGTATTGTGATCATCTAAAACCCACTTATTTTACACAGTTTCAAATCCTTCTCCTATGGTTACTGTGGAAAAATCAGAAATGTTGAAAATATTTAAATAACTTATTTTGTTTTTAAAACTGAATTTGTGAATATATTAAAACTGAGCAAGTAAATTGAAATAAATTATTAATACAAAATGTTATAATTGAAAATTTTGCTTTTATTTTTAAGATATTAAAAATCTTTCGATCATTTTTAAACATTCAGTAGCCCCCAAATTGAAGTATTCATAATTAAATTATTTTACAAAATCAGTATCTAATTTCAGTTAATTTGTATTAAAAATTCAATAATAAAATTAGCCATTTAATAATCTGTACATAAAGGAAGCATCTTTCTTTAAAACATGTAAAGAATTTTTAGTGTTTTGATGAGACTCTTGGGAAATTGTTAAAAGGAATAAATTGTATTTTTAAAACTAAATCAATTCCTAGCCACAGAATAAATAAATATATTTTCGTAACATGAGAATGCTGTAATTTATTATTATTGTGTTATTTGTTGTAAAAATTATGTTCTTGACATTATGTTAACAATTCTTTACATCATTCAAAAGGTAACTCAAGAAGCTCTTCTAAAATTTTATCTTTCTGCTCACACAACTAAAAAAAAAAAAAAATCTGGCCTCAGATTTTAGCAGTCACTCAAAAATGCTCAAAGTTTATAAATGCGTAGATTATCAATACAGATGGGGCAGTGGAAATAGCAAAACATTTTATAAGATACTGACACCAGAAAGTTATATATCTTCTATATATTTGAAAAGTGAAGAAATATATCATGTAATTATATAAAAATATTAAATGTTTCTAATTAGATATATCATGAATTAAATGCATTTTAAATCAATCAGATTAAAAAGTAAAAAAAATACTTTGTTAAGAACTGTGTGTATTGCTTTTAAATAGCTTGGCTTGTTAATTGATAATAGATTAGATTTTAAAGGTAAATATGTTAAATTTTGCCATATGGCAAGACTTGAATGAAACGTGAAACAAGTTTACGATTGACGATATGAAGTCACATTTCGAGACTAATAGATTTGGATTACAATAAAAAGTTCTGAAAATAATTTGCACTGGTTCATTGGTATTAGTTTATGCAAAATTCAGTAAAAGGAAATTTACCAGTTGAAATCAGCACCAAATTAAACTTTGTAAATTCTAGTGCATGTTAAAGGTTATCTCATCCAGAATTTTTATTACTAACCATTCATTTCAGAGCAAAATAATACAATAATTGCCATTTATATGACATTCAATATCAAAAATTTAAATCTGCATTTTATGCAACACAGAAAAACTCCAAAAAAAATCTACTATTTACCATGCAATTAAGGCAGAATGAGGTGAGCTGTTATTCAACACTGAGTGTCAACGAGAATGTTCAGTTTATTTTGTATTCGGTCTCAAAAGAGAAATCAAAATACGTGGATTTATGAATCAAAATACATGAAAAATCATAGTGAGAAAAGCACTGCTACCTTAATCTGTGATTATATATAACAAATGCAGTGCATTATAGTTAACAAATAGTGAAAATATTTATATTTCTGAAATATTTCATATATAACATTTTCAGTTTCGCATATGTGGCAGTTTGAGAATTTTTTTACGTATACCAATTTTTTTAAATGTCTAAACATTTTTGTATTTTCAAGGAAAGCTTATTCTTTCACCTTTAGTATATAAGTAATGGTAATTTACCAGATAAAATTACTTAATGGGGAATACAGAAAAATATCTAACCACTTACTTTGTGACTTCATCTGCAGAGAGACTAAAAAAGTAGTTCAGCTAAATCTGTTATAATAAATATTTATAATAATGCTAAATCCTTGCAATATCTATTAATATGACAAATTTTTGTAAACCTATTTAATTGGATGAAAATAAACACATTCAGAAATTTATGGACACTATATTATGATTAACAGAGGAAAAACACTTTTCTTTTCAAATTCAAAATAGTTTTTATAAATCCAATTTATTTATTACATTTTCTTGAATTCCTGAAAAACAATCTTATATCCATGTATTCTTATGTATATAAGAACTCTTTGATAAAATCTCTGCCTTCCTTTCACAGCACCTAAAATAAAAAAAAACACTCACAATTACTATATGTGAATAGAATTCATAATTAAATTTAAACAAATGACTATAAGAATGCAAATTAAAGGAAGCCTTTAAAATATTTTAACATTTAGTACCCATAAACAGAGTAGCAATTATTTGATTATTCGATTATACAGTCAAAAGTCTTTAATCCGGACGTCCATAATCGGGAATGATCTATAATCCAGACCTCAAAGCTACAAACTTTCTGCGCATGCATCTATGCATGCGCATAATAGGTGTACACATGCACGTTTAATGTATAGCAGACTGTATAAGCTAAGCTAAAATTATCTATTTCAGTTAATGTTGCAGATTTTGTTCCTTCCTTAATCTTCTAATTGGATCCGGCTTATTGTTTTTTGCAGACTGTTAGAGCAATTTTATAAAAGTAATCTTGAACTTTTGATTATGTCAAAAAGAATTTCTGATTCTGGAGCTACCAAAGGATCTACAAAGCGAAAGCATGTTCCGATATCCATTAAATAAAAAGTGAAATTGCTACAAAAAATGGAAAAAGACATATCCTTTGATTCTCGAATCATTCCCGAAATATGTTTATCAATTTCACGCTGCTCTGCTTGGGGGGGGACGCAGCACGCAATGAACTGGAAGTTGATCTGTTAGCACTATCCTTATCTTCAGGGCAGATGTTTTTATTTTATTCATCTTTATAATTCCTTACTAAATGTAGTATTTCATCTCGATGTACTCCGTCTTTGATATGATTTAAATCAAATTCCTCGTCATTATAAATATCACGAATACACATCAAATGGTTTTATGCCCACCAGCGGCCGAGCGGTAAACTGGTAGTTCAGTCCGAGGTTTGAATCCTGCGAACGGGCTGGCTGCATGGGCGTTTTCGTGGTTTTCCCCATGTGTAATGTGCATACGAGTCAGTTTCCCTTATAAAGTCCTCCAGGAAGGCATCCCTCCCTTTAGGCAGATAGCCCTTGTGTGCTTTGCCGTAATTGAATAACCCAAATAGTTTTCTGGTTGCAATTTTCTAATTTCGACTATGCGTAATGTGTGCTTTACGCATGCGCGTGTTGAAAGAAATGTTTAATAAAGTAAACAAATAAATATAAAGCTTTTTTTTTTTTTTTTTTTTTTTTTTTTTTTTTTTTTTTTTGTAAATTTTGATACCCTTTAGATCATAATTGCTTTTTATTTCAAATTACGGTTTATTTTTAATTTTATAATTTCTGCATGCCTTTAAGAAAAACTGATGATCTAATCCGAAAACCGATATCCGAATCGCCGAGCCGCTAGTCCGGATAAGAGTTTTGACTGTAGTAAAATAAACCTGGGATGCCTTTTAAATTTTTTATGTCAGAAATTAAACTCAACCTACCAGCTGAACCATATGAGCAGTTGTATCAGTCAGCCACTGGTAG